TTTACTTCGGCTTGCCTGGGCGGAAAATGCAGGGTTGGCTATTCAGATGGCTGCTCGATTCCCTTCGCCCAAAATGCAGGCTGATGTTAGATCATTGATACTCAAATTCCCCGAGAAGGCCATTGAGGAGCCAAGCGCTCTGGAGATTATGTTTGACAACTGTCTGCCCGCTGATGTCGGTTCCCAGTTGAAATACATGCTATATTGGGCCCCCGTTACTCCTACGGAGGCTATCACATATTTCATGCCCGCTTACGGCAACCATCCTTATATCCTACAGTATGCCATGCGGGCGTTGGAGAGCTATTCGATGGATGTTCGGTTTTTCTTTGTGCCGCAGCTGATTCAGGCTCTGCGCTTCGATGCACTAGGTTATGTAGATCGCTACATCCTCGAAACAGCCAAGTTGTCTCAACTTTTTGCCCACCAGGTGATTTGGAACATGAAGGCAAACTCCTTCAAGGACGAGGATTCTCAAATCGTAAGTATTGATGTTGTCTCTTGAATATCGTTGGCTAACATCCTGCGTTAATAGCCGGACCCCATCAAAGATACACTCGACCGTTTCCTAGATAATTTGATTTCAAGCTTCTCGGACGAGGAGCGTGCCTTCTACGAGAAAGAATTCTCGTTCTTCAATGAAGTCACGGGCGTCTCCGGCAAACTTCGCCCTTATATCAAGAGGAGTAAGCCCGAGAAGAAGGAGAAAATTGAGGAAGAGTTGCGTAAGATCAAGGTGGAAGTTGGAGTGTACCTTCCCAGCAACCCCGACGGTGTAGTCGTTGGTATCGACCGCAAGTCTGGCAAGCCCCTGCAAAGCCACGCAAAGGCGCCTTATATGGCGACATTCCGAATCCAGAAAACAAGACCACGATTGATTGAGAAGGCCGAGGCCAGCGCGGGTGACCACCACCACCACCAACGCCAACTGACGAATCATTCCGAGCCTGAGCAGGAAACATATGAAGTTTGGCAGTCAGCTATCTTCAAAGTTGGCGACGACTGTCGTCAGGATATGCTAGCCCTACAGATGATTGCGGCCTTCAGAAGCATCTTTATCAGTGTTGGTCTAGACGTTTGGGTCTACCCTTACCGGGTGACTTCAACCGCGCCTGGCTGTGGTGTGATTGACGTGCTTCCCAACTCCATTTCTCGCGATATGCTCGGCCGCGAGACTGTCAACGGTCTATATGACTACTTCGTGTCGAAATACGGAGGCGAGGACTCCACCCGATTCCAAGAAGCGCGCACCAACTTCGTCAAGAGCATGGCCGCCTACTCAGTCATCTCTTACCTGTTGCAATTCAAGGACCGACACAACGGAAACATCATGATCGACGATGCCGGCCATATCATCCACATTGACTTCGGATTCTGTTTCGACATTGCGCCTGGTGGTGTGCGATTTGAGCGCGCACCATTCAAGTTGACCGCCGAAATGGTGGCCGTCATGAGTGGAAACCATGACCCAGCCCATCACCAGGGCGGCAACTCGGGCATCACCCTCTCAGGCAGCTCCCACAACCCGACCAACACGCAGCCATACCGGTGGTTCGAGTCGTTGGTGGTGAAGGTATTCCTTGCGTCTCGTCCTTATAGTACGAAGCTAGCCCACATTGTCTCCCTCATGATTGACAGTGGTCTTCCGTGCTTCAAGCCCGAGACTTTGAAGAATTTCCGTGACCGGTTTGTGTTGGATAAGAGCGAGCGCGATGCGGCCGAGTACATGCGGGAACTTGTGCGCAAGTCGTACCTGAGCGTGTCGACTAAGGGCTATGATCAGTTCCAACTGATGACCAACGGTATTCCTTACTGAGATTATGTAGATGTTTAGTTTTACAGGTCAATCTCCCCCTAGAATTTGCATTTTTGATACCATACTTCTATATCATCGACTCTACTACCTGGAAATAGTCAATTCAATTCCAATCCACGGAGGATAATTTAAAAATATTCTCGATCTTCTCATAAAATCTTTGTTTCTAAGAAAAAGCATTGTTGACGTCATGACTTCGTCGGCACCGCGACATACTGACGTTCCCCGGACGACACACCGGCCAAGTCTGACCTTATTACATCTAAATGTTACTTTGCATGGATCATGGGAGAGAACAAACGGTTATCTGTTGAAATCGAGACCAAGTGTCAACAACAGCCGGGATATCACATAATGTGTATACTTCAGACATACTTCAATGGACCTCGGGGTGGCGCTTTCAGCAACGATTTACATCGCCCTAGGTCCGGGGACTGTTCCGGAAGTGGCAATAGCAATATGACGAAGTCAAGACATTTGACTCAGGCTAGGCCTTAATAATGTGCAAGACAGCTTTGAGCCTAGCCCTACTTCCGGATCTCCAACACCCGCACCCTCTTCCCTGATCAACCCAGATCTGGATTATCACATGAAACTGTATATTCTACATATTGTATAAATCTCTAATCTCTCACCTCCAGGATGAAAATCCCATTCCTCCACAAGCTCAGTGGTGGAGGAACAGGGACCAAGTCCCCGCCATTGACGGATTTGTCGGGGGAGTCCGTGATAGCGGATCGCGAGAAACGAGGCAGTAACCTGGATGAATCGTGTGTTCCATGGGTTACATGGAGATCTGTGTTGCTAGGCGCATTCGTCTCAATTGGGGGGGTCATTTTTGGATATGACACTGGCCAGATCTCGGGCTTTTTAGAAATGCGTAACTTCAAGCAGCGGTTTGCGCAGCTGAAGCCTGATGGGACGTACAAGTTCAGCAATGTCCGGTCTGGGCTGATTGTATCCATGGTGAGTGGATATTGTTGCACGTCTTTCAAAAAGGAAGCATGTGAATGTGAGAAAATCTTAACGCTTTTCAGCTTTCCATCGGTACATTGTTAGGAGCTCTCCTTGCCGGGCCATTGACCGACCGAATTGGCCGAAAATGGTCCATCTTTTTCTGGTGCATCATCCTCCACGTCGGACTCATCATCCAGATCTCCTCGCCATCAGGAAAATGGTATCAGTTCATGATGGGACGATTCGTTACAGGATTCGGCGTTGGAGCCTGTTCACTGCTGGTGCCGATGTACCAGGGTGAGATTGCACCAAGACACATCCGAGGAGCGATGGTGTGGTCAGTAATAACCCTACCCTCAACGCTGCGATACACACCATGACTCTAATACGACCCCAGCTCCTACCAGTTATTCGTAACACTGGGCATCTTCATCGCCTATTGCATCAACTTTGGCACAGAAAGCATAGACAACACCGCATCATGGCGCATCCCACTCGGTATCACATTCCTATGGGGTCTTGTCCTTGGAATCGGCATACTCCTCTTCCCGGAGAGTCCTCGCTTCGACTACCGGAATGGCCGCGTGGACCGCGCTCGACGTACGATGTCGAAGCTGTACGGTATACCTGAGAACCATCGGGTGATCGTGCATGAAATTGCCGAGATCCAAGAACAGCTGGATGCCGAGCAGGGGGCGCGAGGTGGGATCCGCGGTTGGCTTGAGATGTTCCAGGCGCCGCGCATGGCGTACCGCATCATACTTGGCGTTGTGCTTCAAGCCCTGCAGCAGCTGACGGGCGCCAACTACTTCTTCTACTACGTGAGTCTTCACCCCCCCCCCCCCCCCCCAACGGGTGTAAGGGTGTAATCCAATATACGTCGAGCCTAGCTAATATTATCTAGGGAACTGTGATCTTCAACGGAGCAGGAATCAACAACACATATGTGACGCAGATGATCCTGGGCGGAGTGAACTTCGGCACTACATTCGGGGGACTATACGTGATTGAGCATTTCGGACGACGCAAAAGTCTGATCGCAGGTGGGATCTGGATGTTCGTCTGCTTTATGGTGTTTGCATCTGTGGGTCACTTCTCGCTTGACGTCAATACGCCACGTAACACGCCCGGAGCGGGCAAAGCGATGGTTGTATTTGCCTGTCTGTTTATCACCGGATTTGCAATGACGTGGGGCCCGATGGTGTGGGCGATCGTGGCCGAGCTATACCCGTCGCGATACCGAGCGCGAGCTATGGCGATGGCGACTGCGTCGAATTGGCTGTGGAATTTTCTGATTGGATTCTTCACGCCGTTTATCACAGGCGATATTGACTTTGCGTATGGGTATGTGTTTGCCGGGTGTTTATTCTTCGCGGTGATCATTGTTTACTTCTTTGTTATTGAGGGTAAAGATAAAACGCTTGAGGAGATGGACATGATGTATGTGATGCGTGTGCCGCCATGGAAGAGCAGCAATTGGAAGCCGCCGGAGCCGGAAAATCGTCTCACGACTGATCAGCTTATGGATCTGAAGGTTGCGAAGAAGTACAACAAGGAAGAGGAGGGTGCGCAGAGCAGGAAGCAGACGGAGGGTGTGCCTGGACACACACATGCTGAAACTGCTGGGACTATGGATGATGCTGGGACAGGACCTTCGCATTTCTCTTGAGAGTTGGTCCTGGGTGACCTTGGGGTGACACGAAGAGTTGAAGTGGTGGGCTGCATATGGACCGAGAGAAAACTTGTGTGATATTGGGGGTAATTAACATATGGGAGAGCATATTCAGTATATACACTGAAAAGAACAGAGGAGATATAGAGTATTTCAAAAAAAAATAAGACTTCAGCGTCCAATAACCAGTGATCAGTGTTTTTTGGGGGGGGGGGGCAATTTGCTAGTCATATAGGAGTAGAGTATAATCCTCCGCATCACCAGGATGGGGTGGGTAAGTGAAAAGGCTCAGAAACACATGAAAACGCTGATCACAATGCTGAAAAAAAAGACATAAATCGATGATCTTCCGTGGATCATTTTGATACATGTTCCTCCTATTTGTAAGAAAAAGAGAAAAGAGTTGGGAAGATACATCAAGAGGATAGAAATCCAGAATTGAAACAAGTCTGCTGAGACTTTTGGCATCGAATGCAGAAAGAAAAAAGGAATGCCAGAGGCCCAGTAGCACTGATCAGGATATACTTCTCTTGGAAAGATGACGCGAATCACTCTCTAATCCATAAAGTCACCCCTCAAGATCTTCTCCTGGAAGAAATCCGGCTTGTTCTGCTTAGGCTGACGGGGCATTTCCCGGCTAGGCTGCTCCATAGACGCAATTGAAGCGGCACGCTGGGCTGCCTGGGGGGAGACAGGGCCGCCGAGGGAAGGAGCACGCTCGGCACGAGAGCGGAGGGCCTCTGACCAGTTAAAGCCTTCGCCTAAGGGTCGGCGTGGTGCGTTAGATCTCTCATCCTGAGGAAACGTTGAAGTACTTGCGGAAGAACGGGTAGCAACAATGGCCGAGCCGGCCGGAGGGGAACGGCGCGGGCCCACGGCAGACGGAGGGGGGTAGTTTCTACCATTGCCTATGCTTCCTGCACGAGCATCACGGAGGGCCTGTGCACCAAAGGAGACGCGTCTCCCGAACTGCGAGTTGGGCGATGTTCCTATTCCCTGATCGTCCTCGAGGGTGTCCTCGATCGGGACGTTGGAGCCCATAGAGCTGGATAAGCTACCTTGACGGAAGTTGCGGTTGCCACCGAAGGCGGATGCCTGGGTGGGGGAACCAGATAGGCCTAGCGTGGTGATTGACAGCCGACGCTGGTTGAACTGCTGATTTGCAACATGGGTATTGGATGGGTTGCTTGGCTTAGAGAATATGTCGGCGATGGAACCACGACGTCGACGGTTCTCTGCATGTGGGACCGAGATGGGGGAGGTGGGATGGTTGGACATTGTCAGATGGAGGGTCTGAACTAGGAATAGGAAGCTATGGACGGACTAGCCGCCCTTTTCATGGAACAGAAAACTTGTTTGGAGTAAGATCAAAGTGACAAGAATGGTCTGATCACTTGGAAAGGGGAGGGTGGAATGATGGTGGGGAAACTTGATTTGAGGAAAGATTGAAAGGATGAGAGGTTGGAAACTTGAAAGGGTAAGAAAGAAGTTGGAAAGATGGAAAGATGGAAAGTATTTCCGATGATAAGAGATGAAGAGAGAATAAGAAATTGAAAGGAGAGGGGGGGCATTTATGAGGTTCACCGAAAAGCAAAAGAAAGCTAAGCATCCGATTTTCTGGGGAAAGTGGCGCCAAGTGGAGAGTGGTGATGTCGGTGGGCTGACTAAGCATTCCATTTGGGGTCTATGAGTCTATTAGTCTATTTTCCTATTAGTCTATTTGTCTATTTGTCTATTTGTCTATTTGTCTATTTGTCTATTTGTCTATTTGTCTATTTGTCTACGGATTTAATAGTATAGGTTAGATACTCTTAGTGACATGAATTGAATCTCATGATGCACTACATATTTTAAATGCATGGCTATAGAGCCATCCATGAAAATATCGGGTCTAATCATGGCTCCATAGTACCTAGAACCGATAGAACACAAGATAGAAAACCTCATGCAATTGTGCAAAACGCCATTCCCTACAGGAAAGAGGGGGAGCATTCGTGTTCGTAGCTCGAGAGTTTAAAAAAGAGGACGTATATATCGTATCCCGTGAAGTGTGATATTATACTAGGTTTCGGATTGCCTCCTGTCCCAGATTGAACTCTGTCAATGTCTGCCAGTAGAGACCGGGATCCAGAAACTCAAGGCAGGTGAAATAACTGAAGCAACTTGCGGCCGATCATCGGTTCGATTTCAGTACCGTCACGAGCGATTTTGACTTCCCGATTCGCATTCCAGGGGTTACGGAGGCCACGAGTGCGCTGAAAGGGCACTCGTTCCGTCGAAATCCATTGAATGCGGAACGGTTTACCAAAGGGTTGACTCTCTTCTAGATCATCGGGCTCAACACTTTTCTCGCTGGCGTTGTCGGTCTCATCTTCCGATGACTCAACTTCCCAGAAGATAGTTCCCCGCACGAAATCATCGATGATCCGGCCTTGGGGTGCTGTCGAGGTGGCCGCTGTCAGGGTCACATCGAGCTCGTCGGGCCCACCGGACGAGGGATCGGGCCGGGATGGCATTTCCAAGGCGAGCTCTTCGTCGTCGCTGATCGGCGACATCATGCGGGCGTATCCAAAATACTCGCCAGATTTATTGGCGGAGAAAATTAAATAGACGGAATCGGTGGTCTGGGCAAAGGTTAGCTTCGGTCATGGTAGTATCGTCTCTATAGGTCTATGCCTACCTCGAAAGCTTGATTCATCGCTGCCTCGTTGTGCGACTGCGTAGCCCAAATGCCACTTTGCTTGCTCAACTCGAGATCTTCCACTGTCAAGCTTTTAACAATGAAATACCGATCTACTAGCCGAGCCGGGGGCGGAGAGTTCCCTGTAGCAGGCGCGGCAGAGCTGAGCTCCGGTAGGATTGAATCATCGGGCGGGTCAGTAGCAGTCGAGGTAGCAGTCGAGGCAACCGTAGCCGTGGTAGTGGCAATATCCCCTAATTGTGACCGGGAAGCTTGATTCCCGACGGGAACTGTCACACCTACAGATCTGGACCCCGGAGCAGTGAACCCCTTTCGCAGTCGACAGACAACACGCACGCCCTGAAACCGGGAGTCATGGAATCTCGCCAACGCCGCGACACAGGCGGCCGCCGAGTTGTAGTTCACAAAGGCACAGCTACTCTTGGAGATCAGGAACACACTTTCGATGTCCTTTGTTGCATCTTGTGAGAAATGATCCTTGAGATCCACGACATTGGTTCCTGGGGGAAGATTTCCAACCCAGAGCGCGTGGCCGGATTGCTTTGGTTTTCGGGGCGGTCCTCGGGGGGTACTCGGCGCGGTTGGGGCTGGTTGTAAGGGGGAACTATTAACTGATGGAATTGCACGTTAGTTATGGGTTCCCAATCGAGAAGGCCGAGAGAACAAAATCATCCAAAAGCTCACCGGAGAGGAGCGGTTGGGTTTGGGGCTGCACCAATTTCATTTTCATGGGATTCGATCCATCCACAATGGTCTTTGAGACGTCATATTCCAGATCCCCCATTCTTTTATCGGCTTCTTTGTGCAAAGAGTCCGGTTTTGATGGCGAACTGGTAGTAGGACGGGCTGGAGAAGCAGCCTGAGGAATTTGGCCGACGGGAGACACTCCATGTTCATAGGGGACACCGTACGGTGAATGGAGGTAGTAGCCCAAGGTATATGGAGATACTTGCCTGGGACTGTGATTGTGCATTGGGGTTCCACGCTGGTAATGAGTTCCACGTTGAGCGTTGCCAGAGTGTTGAGGGATCGCGTACGACGGATAAGCTGGGTAAGACATGCCGTACGCTATGCCTCCGGAGTGTTGTCCATACGGAGCCATTGGCAGGGGATACATCAAACCTTGCCCTTGGGCAACTGAATACTGATGTGTGGGCTGATCATAACCTTGCGAATGATTGCCTGGAAGGAAGTATCCCATGTGGCCCATATTTAAGGGAGAAGGGGTGGTTCCATATCGAGCTTCTGCAAAGCTGGAATAGTGTCTGACAATGGGAGGTTGTGCTGCAGCAGATGCACCTATGAAAACATTTCGGTCAGTAGATCATGCTTGGACGGGGTTTGACAGGAACTAACCCTGTTCTGGTGTCGGGGCTGTCCTGTCGGCTGACTTGTCTGGAGGAACATTGCCCATGGGGGTTGTTGATGAAAGTTTTAGTTGTTTAGAAGCTACTCTATAAGATTTAGTGTATGAAATGGGGCCTTTAGTGCTTGAGATCTTACCAATTAATCACGTAGCCCGAGGCTTCTGAGGTTCTATAAGAAATCCCACAAATGCATGTGATTTCCTCAAGAGTCCGATAGAAAAGACAAGAATAGTATAGAATAGAATGGTGTAGCAGAGAAGGTATGACGGTATTCAAAAGGGAAAAGCCCAAGCTATGCAGGTTAGATCTCTGGAGTTTGGAATATGGGAAATCTCAATAGAATGTGTGATGGTAAGAGGAAATTGAAAGGGGAAAAATGAGAAAAATTGACAAACACGCACTAAAAATCACACCCACCCCCTCCCCTATCTCTAGGCCATAAGCCCAAGCTCACAAAACAAAGTAGGTTGGACAAAAGGACAGGGGATTATAGAGAAAAGATAGAAGTGGGTTAGGCATACGAGATAGGGGAAGCTTACAGGGCTATAACCGGAGCAAAGCCAATACATGAAAACACCAGATCAGGTAAATACGATGTGATCTCCCAAAAAATCGGTGGACATACCTATTTTGTTTTAAAGCGTTATGACCTGGAACGGTCTAGACAGGACCAAGAGGGGCAGAAGGTGTGGTAAATGGCAGAGCAAAAGAGCCGAGGGAGACCATAGAGGTGATGGAATTCCCAAAAGCTTGAAAAACACCTCTCAAAGATATAAGGGAAAAGATAGGACTTGGGAACGTAAGTATATGAAAGTATCCTTTGAAGAGTGGCGGATCTGTTAATAGGTGGAGAATTGAAGCCAATTAACTCCCTTGGTAGGTGGCAGGCTACTGGTTATGTCAATGGCTTCAAAGTACACAAGAGAACTTTCCAACGATCCAACGATCTTTTGTAAATAAAAATAAAAAAAAAGAGTGGAACGGGGTTCGGGACTGTACTGTAGACATACAGAAGGGCTCCAACCCCCCCCAACAGAACCTAGGGTGATGGTGATTGACAACGAATCAGAGACAAATAAGGGACTCGGGATTCTTCTCGGGCATAAAAAAAATTGGGGCGTGAGTATCGTGTCATCTGTGCAGATGCGCATCAGATGCAGATCACCGAGCATTCGCATTTTGTTTTTTTTTTGTGTTCTGTGATGGGAGTATCTAGGGGTGGGGCCAGCAGAACTGTCGCGATTGGGGGTATAAAAATATATTGAGGGACGTGTGGGAAAAAAAAATTGGACTTACACATCCGGGGAGCCTCTTCAAACCTGGACCAATCGTCGAGTTGACGGATTTGCCACTTTCAGGGGTGGAGAGGACAACCCCAAGAATGGTTTCAACGTGATAATGAGCTCTGTGCAAAATCCGTACAACGGTGCTCGGTGCTCGGCCCTCGGTACAGTGTGTATCAACACACGCAAGGACAGAATGAGCCTTTAAATCCGACGGGGCATAACCGCAAGGGGAAGCTATAGACTGGAGATAGCTATTCTGGATACACTCCCACTAGGCTCGATCATGATCCCACCAATTACGTATGGAGATGGGTTCTGAGGGGGACTTTCCACTTGGGACGTGGACATTGGAAGTCCACTGTTGTATATTGGAGCATTTCGAGTCCAAGCCCATTTCAGAAAAGGGACATGTGCTACCGTCTAGTGCGACACAGCAAGATTGCCTGATTCTGAGCCATGGTAGCTGGGAAAAGAGGGAATTGGGTGAGCGGAGAACAGAAAAAAGGGACAGAAACGAGGTGAAGTTGGATCCACTTGATCCATCGGCATCTCAAGCCAGCCAATCAGAGGCGGAGATTGGGGACTACATTATATAGAATAATTACGTTGATACATGTCCCCGTGTGGCCACATGTCTTTCTACTAGACAACGTATGGTACGATATACTGTAAAAGAAGATATCTATCCCGAGGTCCACTGCAACAGGCTTCCTAATACGCCAATCAGAGATATCGGAATCAGCCTCGGTGACGCTGGAGGCATTTAGGTATTCAGGTTGGAATTATGGCAATGGGTGTTAGCGGGAGAGTGTGAGGTACCTTACATCCGACGAAACCGAGAACGATATACGGTTGGTAGCACTAGAGAGGGAAATTTATTGGTTCATGCTCTTGCTTCCAGCGAGTAGCACATATTTGGTACATTTTACACAAGATAACTTAACTTTAACGTCATACAAAGTAGTGTGTGTGTTCTATTTTCCTTGGCTGTCCATGTCTGGACTATGTCTCCAAATCGGTTGACTGGTCTCGACTTATAGTTGAACAACTGTCCTGGTTATAAGAAGACATCTACATCCACCCAAGGCAGCATGAGATCGTATACTGCATTGTGCAATATCTAAATCCATTCTCTCGACAGTGCCCTGTGACTCATCTCCTTTGCCACTTTCTTCCCCGTCGAAGTATAGTCCGGCCGAGAACGATAAGAATAGACATCCTATGATCTACGATAAACACAAATATATGCAAGTCGAGGGGTGGTACACATTGACAGTGAGCCACTGACGCCCCGTTGATGTAAGTGCATTCGCCTTCCGCTGTACTGAAGAAGAAACAGGCTGGGAATCGGTGGTCCACCGTGAGTGGTCAGAGTTCGTCTTCTCGAAGTCCACGGGTGTCGGCTGTCTTCTACGGGAAGACGCCACATGAACACCTCAGGCGCCACTCTGGGACCCATGACGTCATACACAACCCCCACGTGAACCCACAACTTTTCTATACAACATGACTCGGTTCATGAGCCCCTCTATGGTGGATGCACCACAAGGGTATTCAACAGTGGGAAACCAATCATAGATGTACCTAGCCTCAGTCGGACTTGGCCATCAAGGGTTAAAATATGGCAAGTTGACCCATTCTATCCATCTGTTGTAAACGTGTTGTGTCATCGGTGGCTTTGTGGCTGCCACTATAACATACAACATGACCCCAATCACTGCAGGGATCGGCAGAGTTTCGAGCAGGACATCTTCATTGTTTCCATCCTCGATTCTCAACGTTGAGATTGTCACTCAGAAAAAGCCTGGACTCAGATCATCTCCATCGTTGCGTCGCATACAATGGTCCTCTCACAGCCCTCATGTCTCCATATCTCCATACCACCAATACCCTTACGTTGTGCGATGTGTCTGTGAATGGCTCTATTTCCGTCGAGAAAACCGCAGGTCTTACCATCCTCGGCCACCGGTAGACGCCACAGCCCCACGGTCCGTTGGGATTATCACCAGCTGGGGTTAGCGGGTAGACTCGGGCATTTTGGTGTTGCCAGTATTAGAACACCTCGTTTCTGGACAAGGTATAGTGCTAGTATGTTTTAGAGAACCGGTGATTTATGGTTGATAGTTTAACGTGGAAAAGTGGATGACGAGGGGAAGCGAAGAAAGGAAAACAGGAGGTATTCTAACTAGCTCTATTCAATATGAATATGCCGGGGATAGACTGTGCAGATAGCCGGTAGATGGCTGTTTTGAGAACTTCGTTCTCCCGTGGCCACGTTCGATTACTGCGATGGCAGATTCCACCAAGGTCCCCAAGGCTCGATGAACACAAGTCCCCCCAAACGGAGATACACCAGAGCACATCTACATATAAAACATGTTGATCAGAACGCAGGGCAAAGGCAACGGACCCGACCCATATTTGAAATTGTAAAAAAGACCATAAACCATGAAAGTGGTGAGAAACCAACCATAAGCGGGATCGAAATGCAAGTATCAGAGTTGACACGAAGAAGTGTAAAAACAAAGAAAAGAAAGAATAGCACCGCTTGGCCCTCATGGAAGTTAGAGCCAAACTGCCAAAAAAAATTTTTTTTTCTGATCAGAAACAGAAAACAAAGAGTAAAAAGGAACATCAACAAAAGTCATCAGAGGGGAATTTTTCATGCGGAATCTCATTAAACACGATATAATTACGATTATGGGGCGGCGCGGCTGATGTGCTAGGCGGGGGAGAGAAGCCCTTTATCGATCAATTCCAAGTGAAGCCACTTTTCCCGCAAAGCGGGCACCAGCGCTTCCTCTTTTGGAGAGCTTCTCTCTGTCTTTATCTCTGCTTTCTGCGAGAGTTGGAGCGTTTGACGAAGAAGAAGATTCCTTGCTGCGGATAATTGGGAGGGAGCCCAGGGTATCGTTCGCAGAGGACTTTCCACCCAGTGGCGGTGGAGGCACGCTAAAGGTAGATGGGCGGGCGGTCCGTTGGCTGAGGTAGAGCTTGGCTGCGGGGGAGAGAGGGATGGAGGGGGGCTGTGGCGGGATCTCTGCGCCATTTTGGACTAGCAGCTCGGCGATAGGGAACGGGATGGCTTTTGCGCTAGACCTGGCGGCGAGAGTGGTCGGTGGGGCGCCTGGGGACGCAGGATCAGCGGCGGCGAGGGCTAGGAAAGTGGCGTGGGTGTTGCGGGAGCGATCGGTAATGTTTACGTTACCACGCAGGGCGAGGCCGTAGAGGACGCCTTGGATGTCGTTCTGTTTGATTGAGGCGAGAAGTGTTTCGCCAGGCGTCGCGAAGCGAGAACGTGGTGAAGGCAGATGCTCAACGTAGGCTCGATCAACATATTTGGCGGTGATAAATTTCAACCGCTGCTCCCGTGTAGAACTGGCGCTCGGCTTGAGCTTTTGATCTAGGGTCGCCTCCCAAATCATATTGCTGACGCGGTTGCCAATCTGCAGGAGAATCTCGACAATGTCGTTCGAGAAGGAGTGTACATCCAACGTGAGAGAGCGGATCTTGGATATGTGCGTACCCAGAGAGCGGTGAATACCACTACATTCAATGCAGAGAATGATTCCGAGGTTGATGGACACCCACTCAACCTTGGATGAGGATCCGCAATCAGCACACCAGTTGTTGCCTTGGTCCGCATCCCGTACAACCTGCAGAAGTTTTGCAGGATTCTCTTCAAAGGTGTTGCCATCATGACGGACATAGCCCGGACGCGCACCGACTGTAGTTCGGCGGATGACGCCGGCGCTGTTGCCAGAGCCAGAGCTAGAGTTGGAATGGGAATGGTGACCAGACACAGACGAGCTTTTCCCTGTTAGAGCGGAGCCAATATCCCGATTGGTCAGCGCATTATTCCTAGACGCGGAAGAAGCTGAAGTCTCCTGGCCTTCGACCGCGCTTTGCAGCGCGTTGTTGATAGACCTGATCCAATTGGACATGTCGTCCTCGGATGTGGCTTGGTAAATACGTTTGAACTGGGGTGTGATCACTTCGAAACAGAACCGTCGCTCCGCATTTCGAGCTTCACGGACGGATGCCATGCGCAGATCGATGGGGTCCATATGTAGATCCAGTTTTTGTTTCCAGTTGCTATACTCGGATAATTTTCCTTGATCCAAGACAATCCAAAATCTGACAAAATTAGAAGTTGATCAACCCTTCATGCGCTTGTACTTACTTGTGCCATGCCTGCTTGTTGATCCCCTTGGGGTCGATGTGAGACCCTGGACGGGATAGTGCCCACAGGAGGCCTTCTTTCCGCTGTTGGCCACTGGTTCGATCACATCCAAGACTGTTCTGTTCCTCAAGATCTCGGATACCCTTGAAGCGATTCTGGCCCGCATTACTGACTACCGTCGAGCTTGACGCAGGTGCACTGATCCCTGTGGGTGATGCAATGGATCCCGCATTTGCTTGAGATGAAATTGATGAGGTATTGCTAGTGACTCCTCGGATCTGGGAGCCTGTGCTATCGGCCCTACCGAGCTCGACCTCGGTAGAAGGACCGCCATTAGCAGTTCCCGGAGGGATGATAGGTATACTCATTGGGCCGCCCACAACGTCAGGCTCAAGATATGGGTTACTGCCATTTTCCAGAGCCCGGCGCTTCTCTTCGCGTTCTGTACGCTGGAATTGGAACTCCTTGTCGGCCTGGTCCACCTCGTGAATAAGGGCATCCAGCTGAGGGGTCATCCCTTCAACCTTTTTGGCGGCTGACAGGAAATTCTTGACTTGGCAACTTGCATACTTGGTGAGGTGTGAGAGAACCTCTTGCTCTTTGCGACCTCCGTGGAGATCTTGCATAAAAGAGGAGTAATCGAATCGCCTCAATTCGAAATTCCGCCGCTTGACTTGATACTTTGAATCGCTCTCGGCACGCTTCTTCTCTTTCAGTGAGTCCTGCCGCTGGCCCAGATACCGACTGACATATGCGTAATAGTCACGGCTTTCTTCATCCCAGTCCTTCTTTTTGGCTTCTGCTTGTTTGATGTCGTTGTTATATAGCTTGACCAGAGGATCAATCACGAGTTTTTGAAGTTGCACCGTGTTGAGCTGCTCGTAGTTCAAAATCTGGCGAGCGATCTTCTCGAAGTAGTGATCCAAAGCGGGTTGAATAGCATTTGAATTGGACGTGGATGCATCATTCAATGAGGATAGAAACGCTTCCATGGCCTCGTTGCAATTGGCTTGCGCTAGCTGCGCGCTCTCGGCTTTCTTGAGCACCTTTTTAATTTTGCTGCGCATGTTGCTTGTCTTCGATTCTAGCGCTTTCATAGTAGCCCGGAATAAGGGTCCGTCCTCCACTCCGCTCATCTCATCGCCTACCCGCGAATGTGGGAGGTCCACCTTAGCTGGTGGTGGGGGAGGGGGCACAGATGGCAGAGGAGGGGGAGGAGGAGGGAGGGGGGGGAGGGAGCGGGAGACTCTTCTCTACTGGCTCAGGCGGAAAAGTGGAGGGAGTGTAGGTGGATTCGGCATCGCTATAATGAGATACGACAGATTGAGTCGATGAAATACGAGAGCGCGGGAAGACGGGTAACTCCAGGTTTGGCGATGAGATCTGGGGACTCGGTAGGGTACGCATGGAGTTGTGCACCCAGAAGGAAAAATGGGCAAGTGTGTTGAGGCGGTTAGTTCTCTGGTCATAATCCAAAAAGCTGCAGCTGTTGCGCCAGCCGCCGCCTTTGTCCTCTGTTACCTTCGGAGGCTTCCATCTCCATGACCATTCGAATGACACGGACGGGGTACCCCCAGTAGAGTAATCTCCGATTAGTTGGACATTCGAGTTATTCTGAAGGTTGGGGTTCGCATGGAACTCTCTTGTGATCAGATTATCCAGTTCCTTCGAATTGGATGCGTGAGCGAACGTGAGGCCCATGAGACTGGTGTCTGCCACCTCGGGCATAGTTGTTGAGACACCATTGACAGAGTTTGGAGCATTGCCGGTCTGTGTTTGACGAATGATAAAGGTAAAGTTGAAGATCAGCTCCTCGTCGTTCGACAGGCGAAGCATGAACGTTGGGACCGGAGCAGCGGAGGGGGTGTCGGGGTCCTAATGGGGTTTGAGGGATCTTGTTAGCCTAGACGACATCATGCATCCGGGATTTTGGGCACTGCGTACCTGAATATATTCGATCGGAGTGTCGTCGCCGGCATCGCGCTTGGCTGCGAACCTCGCCGCAGGGAACGCGTTGGGGGATAGAGTCAGAAGACGACGTCGTGGGTTGCTTATCGTGACGGATGCGATCGAGACTGAAATTTCATGAGTATGTTGACAAGAGTTTCCGATTCGAAATTTTGAACCTACAGCGATTCTGATCCTTGAAAAACAAGTTCCCCGCATCGTCAAGGCGGCTGCCAACATTCCCCATGATGGCGGCAAAGGGATTAGGTCACGGCGCGAGAAAGGGACCGAAGGAGCGGGACCAATCGTTGGCCATCGACGGTCTGCGAACCTGCAGTCGGATGGCCGTTGTATTGAAGCGTGTAAAAGAACCGAGTAATCATTCAGTGAAGGTGCCAAAGGGATGAGAGAGAAAGCTCAAAGATCTGAAGGAGGGGGCGAAATCGGATAAATGCGCAGGCAACCCCACCCCCCCCCCCCCCCCCACTACGTGTCATTTAGTTTTAGAGCTTCTTTTGAATTTCTCAACATCTATGCTTATCTCGATGTAGAGATCTTTGTGTGTATATTGCTTAATTGTCCTTTAGTTTGGCCTCATTACAAGAGCTGTATCGAACGACGGACAACATTCAACCAGACTACATTCATATATGAACATGATCATAACCTCACTTCTGATTGAAAAATACTATAGAAACATCGAAATGGACTTTCTAGATATCAAATTTGCATTATTAGGACCAACTATTCAAAGCAGCAAAAAAAAAATTTTTAAGCCTGGTATCAAAAAAGTATTCGTGAACGTCGTGAGACTTGGTTCCAAACCAAGTTCAATCGAAAATCATACGTGGCCTGCGAAGACCCGGGATTAGAATAAGAAAGTCAGAAAACAAAATTAGTCAAGTCGTGAACTGACTTGTCCCATTCTTGGGGTCAGTGGTGACCGCACCAGTCGATACGGGGCGCTCACGGGTAGAAAAGTACCGATGCTTGTGCTTGTGGCCATCGGGCTTTTCATCCGCTTCTACCCAACGCATAACCTGTCCTCGTAGATCACGCATCTCGTGGACTCGTCGGGAAAGATCTCCTCGTTGCTTGGATTGGCCACTGCGCTCATTGAGCTCATCCTCTTCCGAGCTGGAGATTGACAGCGAAGACGTGCTGCTTTGCTGCAGGAACATAATGACATTGCCAGCATTCTTCTTGAATTCGCGCTGCTCGTTCTTCAGATTCCCCATTCGTTCCGCATCCGCCTGGCAATCCAGAGTGGTAACATGGAGACCGGGGAAGTTGGAAGATATGAATTCCTGTAGGAGTGGTAGCTTCTCTGCATTGGGACGGTATGTTCCACTGTCGTTATCAATAAAGAGTTCGTAGTCCGCTGGATTGGTCGAAATTGGAATCCCTTCTTCAGTTTGATCTAGATCCTCATCCTCATTGCGGTTCTCATCTTCCTCCACGGGGAATTCGTCTGTGGGTACTGTGCTCGATTCTGCGTACTCTGAATTCTCAGCGCGCTCTACACGCTCTACCGGGGAGTTACGGCGATGGCGATGCTTGCGCCGCCGAAGGAAGAATTCACCCGAGTACGCAATGTAGATAGACACATCACTGTGCATGGTGTGCTTGCTCAGCATATCAATGCCAAATTCCTTGCCAGTCTCTGTGAACCGGAGTTGTCCGTCCAGGGTGAGCACATAGGTGAAGATCCGCCCTCCTTGACCATAGTGTGCAAATTCTAAAAACTTCTGCGCAAGTTCACGGCAAGGCGTCTGGAAGGACCCATGTAAGGTAGTGCGATCGAAATTATAGATGCGCTGGTGTTGGTGGTGAAGCGCTTTATGCAGGATACGCCCTCGTAGACTCTGCGCCTGGAACATTCCAGCCACGAATGGCTTGAATTCCACATACCGATGGTATAGCTCGGCGGGAATGGGGCCTGTGAGCTGCATCTGAATGGCTTGAAAACTATCTGGGGGTCAGTATATAAATTGCCCGGGGGAGAAAGGGAAGGAAAACACACTTGTAACGGCTAATAGACTTGCCAGTACCATCTTTGCTTTGAACCTCGTCTTTAACGCCAGCCAGCCGTCCAATTAAAGGAGAAAAATGCTTAAACCAATGGTTGGGACCAACAGTGTAGACCTGACCCCCCTCTGTGCCAGGAGTTTTGCCAAGACACTCGATACTGACCACCAACCAAGACTCCTTGCGGTGCCCGGTCGTAAAAGCGGTGACGTTTGTAAAAACGTAGACGCGCTTGCTCCCAAAGCGCTTTTTAACTTTAAAAGACCTTTCCTTGAAACCTGCCCAGTCCTCCGAAAGTGTAGGAGCGTCGATGAAAGCGATTCCTAGCTTATCATCGTGATCCGTGGGGTCCTCGTCCATGAGATGACATTTCAACTGAAATCCCGAAGCGGGGACATTTGCGACAATCCATTCGCATTCCCACTTGGGATTCATGTCCTTGCGTATGGTCGGGGTGCGGAAACGCAGGTCGGGGTCTTGTTTGTGGCGCTTCGGCAGGTCGACTACCATATGTGCAGAGACATAGGGATCGGAGGAGAAACTGCCAAAATCTGCGATGGGTAGGTCTTCTGCGCGATGGAAAGTAATTTTGAGGGTGTAGCCTGGTGGGGCTTTGGGGATGGGAGTGGCATCGAAGCCTCCGGCAGGTTTTGACTCTCCATCCATAGTGAGCCGGCGATGTATCTTGTCGGCCTTCTCGACGAATTTGGGGCCATACTTGTCGATGGTATGGACAGGTAATGACTGGGGTTGGGAGTCTTCCATGTTATAGGAAACAAAATCTCTTTCACGAGATAGGTCAAAATATGTTGTAAATAAGAAAAGCCATGGAGGGGAAAAAAAAAGAGGGAGGGAAAGCAGAGAGTCCAAGCTTTTTCAGCCTTATAAATGAAGAACCGGAATGAACTCGTCCCACTTGAGGCCGGAAAGATGAGCAAATCATCCAAGAGTTTTATTTACTAGCCTTGTTCAGCCTACACATGTTTATTACATCTTTATTAGAGTGTGAACTTTTGTCACGTACTCTGTGACTTGAAATGAGTTCAAGGCAAAATACTATCAGGAGATACTCCGTACACAAACTTCTAATAGTACAAATGGAGAAATACAAGTCATAAGTTCATGAGCACCGAGTTGAAAAGTTTTAACTCCTTGCATGACTGACGAATGTGGCGTATTGAAGAATCGGGGTGCTTTTTCAGGTTCCTCGGAAGAGAAACTGCATGTCCTCCGGGGTCAGCTTTTCCAATGCTGCGGCTTGATCTTTATTCAGGGTACCTCGGATGAGATTGGCTTTCTTCTCTTGAAGTTGAATGATTCGCGACTCGACTGAGTCCTCGATGCAGAGTCGAGTGACCACGCAAGGCCGCTGCTGGCCGATTCGGTGACTGCGATCGGCGCTTTGCCATTCCGCCGCGGGATTCCACCACGGGTCGATAATGAAAACTCGGGATGCTTCTGTTAGGTTGAGGGCCACCCCACCAGCCTTGAGAGAGACCAAGAAAACCTCAACCTCAGGCTTAGTCATGAAATATTCAATGGACTTTTGCCGCTGTGCCGGGGTCATCGATCCATCCAGCATTACGGTGCTGAACCCGGCATGGCGTAGCCGCCACTCGACCAGTTGTAGCATGGATGTGAATTGGGAGAAGATGATGGATTTGGGGGTATGGCTTTTGCCTCGCTCCTTGAAGAGTTCGTAGAGGAGCATCTCGATTTTGGTGGACGAAGTCCAACTTTCCATGGAGATGCGGTTGATGATGGAATTCTTCTTGACGGACTCTTCGTATTCTGCAAGGGTGGGCTGTTCTAAATCAATGGAAAGGGCGATATGGCACCGTGGACAGTCGACGTGCTTGCTGTCGTCCTGAAAGGACTGGATAAAGTCCTTGGCGCATTGACGACAGAATTCATGACGGCACTGAGATCGAATGGCATCTTCTGCAGGCTCATCACATATGCAACACACAGCAATGTTGAACCCTACTTCCGCTTTTTTCTTCAAAATCAGATCGGGATGATTCGCAACTTGGCGCATCTGCATGATTAATCCGAAGATATTGGCATAGTTGTTCAACATGACACCCTCGCTGACATAGGTATCGAATTTTCTAGTCGAGTTCGTCATAATGCTGCGTGAGAAATCTTGTTCGATCTCGCCGAAAAATTCATTGTGCAAGGTGATACGTTTAGCTGGAAGCTCCATCGACTTTGTGTGCTGTTGCTTCATTCGGCGGAGCATAATGTGATCAGTGATCAGACGGAGTTTATCAAGACCGTCTTTACGCTGTTGCTGAGTTTTCCCCTCGATGATTGGGTTGAGAATCTCCTTGTTGAAGATTGAAATATGCATAAACCCAGTGTGAGAGCAATCAGTACAACGCCCCTCTTTGGTCGAGGTCCACTGGAGTTGTTCGCAATCGCACTGTTTACAAAAGTAGCATGCGAATGGCTTGACTTGTAGAAAGCGTAGAAGAGAAAAGAATTCTCCAATCCGGTTCTGTACAGGTGTGCCCGATAGGCACCACTTGTAATTAGCCTCCAAGGCAAAGCATGCTCTGGCAACCCCCGTGGTACGCGACTTGATACTATGCGCCTCGTCAAGAATGAGGCGGTGATAGTGGACTGCGTGGATGACACTGTTTGCCTTGACCATCGTTTCCCCGCGCGAGAAACCTTTCTCCTGCTTGCGATAAATGGATTCGAGACTTGCATAGGAAATCATGATGACATCGTATTTGCGAATTTCAGCCTGTGTCAACTTTTTGACTTTCGCGTCGGAATTGTGGTAGACCAAAACTTTCAGCTTTCCATCCGTGTATTCCTTGATCTCGGATACCCACTGCATCAAAGCTACCGGTGGCACGAGGACAAGAGTAGGATCCGGCTGGGGGAAATCGGACATGATGAGTGATACTGCTTGGATAGTTTTTCCCATGCCCATCTCATCCCCCAATAAGCCACCCTTGTATTGAGTCTTTTCCTGTGCTATCATCCAGTTCAAGCCCTCCAGTTGAAATGGCTTAAGTTTTCGAGTAATGGACACAGGTTGCTTGGCTTCCTTTGGTTGGATAATCGGTTGTGCTTTGAGCACATCCCACATGGTACCAATGGCAGGATGTTTGCTCACCAGGTTCTTTCGGTCTCTTTCTATCTAGGTGATGGTCAGTCATGCAAAGACACGCGGGGAAATATTCCGACTGACACGGCGAGCTTTCCGCTGCTCTTCCCAGGTCGGGGGCAGATCAGCTTCAGAGTCGTCAAAATCGCCATTGAGGTCTTCCCCGAGCGCACTGGGAGTTCTGCCCTCTAGGGGATCCTCTGAGGTATCCGAGTAAGAAGTGCCAGAACCAAGTGATCCTGGTGGCTCAGGGCTCAACGGAGGGAAGCGTACTGGTCGAGAATCTGGGTCCGATTCGTATTCCAAGTGTTCATCGACGAATTTGTCTGCGAGCAACCGTTGTTCTGCTGTCGCACGTGGGTATTTGTATTTGGCCAGAGCGGTATCGAAATTCTCGAGATCGGGTTGGACAGACAGAGCACCCGTAGGTCGTTTTACCGTCTTTTTTTTGTAGGCATAAGCTAGTGGAACATCAGAGGCATCATCATCCTCAGTCAAAACAGCTGCGGATCGTTTTCTTCCTCTTTGGGAATTTCCTAGGGATAATGTGCTCGACTGTAGTTTTTTCACGCGATCGGCGGCATTGATACGCGCCGACGGCTTTGTTGCAATCTTGGTATCGAATTCAGTAGCTGGGGTACTATAGCTCGTGGACTGATTCCCAAGTGAAGTCCGAGAATTTGAATCACTGGGAGATTCGTTTTTCATGGGCACAACCACCGCAATTCTGCCTGAAATAAAACTGTCTGGTACCACTGAGTCCGATAGACCGACATCATCATCCTCATCTGTTTCGGAATCTTTTATGACACGAGGTCGAGATTGAGAAAGGGATGATCCACTGACTTGCAGAGGTCCTGATCGACTTGATCGACGGAGAGGGGAGGAATTCCTCAATGACGTTTCGCTTAATGGTACATCATCGTCTGAATCAGGGATTGTGGTTCTGGGTCTCAGATTGCGCCTCATGTTGAGAATTTTGGGAAGGGGGGAATAAAGAGCGGTGGTGATATGACAGCTTTAAATTGGGGTTATTGAGCTATAAATAATGATTGATCACATTAGCTTTGAAAAGTATGCCGGGAAGTGATTGGGGGGGGGGATGTACCTAGAAAAGCTCGATTTCACTTGTTGATGTTATGAAGATGGAGATAATTGCTAGAAGACAGTTTTGAGATTTAACAAAAGTTGGGATAAAGAGGGTAGAGAGGAAGTAAAGGGAGTAAGAGAAGGAAATCAAAGGAGAAAAAAAGATGAGAGGAAGTCGGAGGTGCCTGAACCAGAAATTTCCCTCGGAATCTCCCGATCTCCCTTTCCTAGTTCCTCTCGGTTTCTTTTTTCTTCTGGTGGCAAATCCGTTTATCATCATCTTGATCAGGAACCCAGCAAAGATCTTTGCAATTCTCCCTGTATCCCTCTATATTCATTCCTAATACCAACCGTGTCTTATCTCAGATAAGAGCGCGCGTTAAGTGAAACGCGAAATTGCCACGAGTCCAGTGACTCGGGCCCAGACTTTGAGCCTCGCTTTACTTAAAATCTCTAAATATGTGAGTCCTGTCCTATCCTATGTGATCAATTTTCAATCTAAATTACAACTGACATTTAAAAGGACAGGCAGGAGACGGGCAAGACAGCCAACTCAGCCAACTCAGCCCCAGGGCATTCGAGGCCCGTATGTTTCCCTTCCGTTTACCATTATTGCTCTCCAGAGACTTACTGCAACGTTAGACGCTCTGCCTTGACTGACTATCTTGCTGTGTGTTGATCTCTCTCTGCATAATGTGGCTTGGCTGACTGGTTATAGTCAAACAATATCTCAGCTCAACAAATTCGCGATGATTGGGACCGCCGGCAAGCTGAGGCACAGCGCCAGTCTGACCAAGCTGAACAGGAATCATCCAATTCAATTGAAGAATCCAGGTCTCCATCGGTATTGAGGTCACCGGAGGACCCGATCAAAAAGCGCAAGCGCCAACAAGCCATTGCAAGGATCAAAAATAGCAAGGAGTTTGCTAAGCGCAAGGCTCGCTTTAGTGGCGATTACGGTGATGAGAATGATGACGATTTCCTTGCGCTACAGATCCATGAAGAAAGAAACCGACCGAAACCGGGTCAGCTTGCAAACTGCGAGATCTGCGACAAGCGTTTTACTGTAACTCCCTACAGCAAGGCCGGTCCGAACGGAGGATTGCTTTGCGTTGATTGCTCTAAGAAGCAAAAGAACGACGAGAAAAAGCCTCCGGCCAAGAAACGTGCCCCTGGAATTGGACGCCGTCAGAATCAAGCTAACCTACTTGATGGGCTGACTCCTCATGGCACTCAGAGTCTGCTGGAAACCTGCATCAAGGTAAGTCCATGGCATTCCACCTCCAGAGCGTCAACTAGGGAGTGCTGATCAAAACAATTTTTTTTTTTAGAAAGTGGCAGATTATATCCATGACGTTGAGGATTTCGGTGATTTGCCTCCTTCTTTGCTGTTACGTCTCGGTCAGATCTTGTCCAGAAGGCGGGCCGTGACTTCACGGACCTTGGATCTGTTCTTACGACCTCAATACACATCTATCGACCTGTTCGATTGTGCTAGTAAGTAAGAGCCGCTTTTCGCTAAAAAGGAGGGGGGGGGAAAAGAAAATCTAACTAGTGGTTAGAACTTGGTACGGATGATTACCACAAGATCCTGGCTTCCATGCCTCGTCTTACAAAGGTCAATCTTCGGTTTACCACTCCAATGAAGGACCAGATCTTCCACTATATGATGGAGCGTGATATGAAGATCAAAGATCTCCATCTAGATGGGCCAAACCTTGTGACTGATGCCTGTTGGCGCCAACTTTTCATGAAACTTGGTCATCGTTTCCTGAGCATCAAGCTGTGGAACCTAGATTCTACCTTTGATAACGAAACTGCTCGAGTAATGTGCCTTCATTGCCCTAACCTTCAGCGATTGAAACTGAAGTTTTTACACAAAATTGGCAATGACACGCTTGACGGAATTTTGACGCTCAAGTCGCTTCAGCATTTGTCGTTGCGTTTTCTTGGGGAGATTGAGACTAAGACTGAGCCTCTCCTTGAAATCCTGAGTAGTATTGGCCCACAACTGGAAACCCTCTCTCTGGAGGAATTCCAGTTCGCCGATGATCGACTCTTGCTGCATATCCATGAGCACTGCAGTCATCTGACCAAACTTCGTCTTACTCTCAATTCGACCTTCACCGATAAGGGTCTAGCCGCGTTCTTCACAGGCTGGTCTAATCCGGCCCTTACCTATGTGGACTTGAACTCCCTCCGGGACGTGGACATGTCGAATCCCGCCGGTCCGGAGGAGCCTATAGGGCTTGCATCCGATGGCTTCGTTGCGCTCATGGAACATTCGGGCTCGAAAATTCAACACTTGAACATCGCGTCGTGCCGTCACGTTTCATACAAAGCGTTCGAGCAGGTTTTCGCAGAAGGCAAGGCATATCCCAACCTCAAATATCTTGACATTTCCTTCAGCACTGTCGTGGACGACTACATTGCGCAGCGCATCTTCCGGTGCTGTCCGGCCCTTCAGAGACTTGTTGTCTTTGCTTGCTTCAACATTCGCGATGTCCATATCCCTAGAGAACTTGCTCTGATCGGGACTGTAGGAGCGACTATCAAAATCGATGGAATCACCCAGACTGAGACCATCTGAGTGATGCTACAGGGGATCGACGGACCTTTTTTTCCTTTTTTTCCTTCTTTTTTGCTTGTTTAGTTTAGCGGTATTTTACGATCTGAGCCAACGCCTGTCTAAAATCGCAAATCCCTCCAAAAAAAATGCAGGTAAACTTGCTTTTCGTCTATTTGCCTCTGCCCTTGACGGGCATGGAACGTACAGAAGGTCAATTGATATCGGCACGGCCGAGCCTGCAATGAGTTGTGTTGATACATTGGTATATATGGTGATCAACAAAATTTCAATCTTCTTGTGTGTGTCCACTGTATGCAATTGTGTACACACGTCCCCTAAGAAAAGAAACCTAGTAGATAACATTTTAAGAATCAGGGAACTGTTGCAACCACCTCCCCCTATGGATATATCAAATGCTCGGGACTCGCTGAATCACTCACAAAAAAACAACTTCATTCAATATCATGTATAGTTACTCCAAACACCATAACTCATGTAGCCATAGTTCATAGATCTCAAGAAAATGCAACCAAATTGACGAAAATCCATGGTCTTTATCCCATCCGCTTGCCAATCTCACTTTGCCAGTTTCGGGTCCTCTCAAATCCATTGGAGGCAGTCTGGTAGTCAAGCATCGCCTGGTAAACCTCCTCCTGGGTGTTCAACACAAAAGGTCCGTACTGAACAACCTTCTGATTCAGTGGTTGGCCAGCCACAAGAAAGATGCGGGAATCTTTTTCGGCATTATCCGGGACGGAAATTTCAACAAAATCACCTGCCTGCTCAAATTCTACGTTTGTGAATTCTTTCACGATGCGAGTGGAATCATTCGAGCCGAAGACAGACTCACCAGCCAGAGTGTAGGCAAATGAGTTCCATCCCTGTGGCAGGGGCTGTGAGATACGACCACCAGGCTTGATCGTGATATCCAAGATCCAGACAGGGGTGTAGGCCAAGTCGCGTACGGAATCAACACCGTGCGACTGGCCCGAGATGACCTTGATCTTGACACGGCCCTCATCGACCATGGCCAGAGGAATCTCCTCAGCACGCAGATCACGGTAGCGAGGCTCGCAGAACTTTAATTTCTGGGGCAGATCGACCCACAACTGCATACCGACGTTGGGGCTACCATCTTCGTTCTCGTGGGGCATCTCAGCGTGCATGATGCCGCGGCCTGCAGTCATAAATTGCAGATCGCCAGGCCCGATGGTGCCTTTGTTACCGGCGAAGTCTTCGTGGTCAACACTGCCGGACAGCAGGTAGGTGATAGTCTCCTGGCCGCGGTGAGGGTGGTCTGGGAAGCCAGCGCCCTTTCCGATAGTGAAGTGGTCGAGCATGAGGAAGGGACTGAAGTTGCGGAGCTTGGCAGTTCCAATAGAGCGGCGCACACGGGCACCTGCGCCTTCTGCTTGCTCAATGGCAAGGAACGCCTGTCGAATTGCACGAGGAACGGACATGTCTGTGATGGGGAACACTATGGGAGTTGGGGTTTCTAGATTGAGGTGTTGGTTTGTCTGCCTGACAATATCCTTTGTTTGAAGGTGCTGTGACAGGCTAGGAGCTTGTTTTTGGATGAATGTGAGAAAATGGTCTCTAAGAGACTCTTTAACAGAAAGGTTATAGGCAAGGAAGATTGCGGTGATGCAAATTGAAAGTGGTAAAAGTGATTTCATGGATGAGGTGACGGCTATTTATTTAGGAAGAGTGATTGAAAAGAGTAGAATGTTCCGTATGAAAGGGAAGTTCTGTCAGCGTTAGTCAATCTTCCCTAAGTACTCTTTGTAGCATGCTCTGGGCATCATCCATAATGCTTTGCAAGACATCAGTCAGCCTACCCGGACCAATGAAAAGGCCTGACTTCATTACCAACATCCCTGTCAGCAGCCACTAAGCAAAGAGCTAACCATAGTTAGTTAACTAGTTAGTTAGTTAGTTAGTTATGTGACTAGTCTGGATACCTGAAAAATGAGGTGCCAATGATGAGTTCAGCATTTCAAATCAGGTGACCTAGAAAATTTGGGGGGATCTATGAGCTGCAAGTAGTTTGGTGGACACAAGTACGGATATATGTGTGTTTAAATGATTATTACATTGTAACTCTAACTATTGCCCCAAATTAATATCAAAAGATACCATTTCCATGCATTCTGTATTCTATAATATGCATTTGCTTCTAAATGTTCCAAGTTTACCCGTGGACAGTACATAGATAAGCGGTTATCAGATAAGGCCACGGAGCATCTGCCGCTCTCCACTGCCAAACCTGACATGCGAGGACTGCCTACTGTGTAGGAATTTGATTCGTTCCAGCTTTGGAAAATTGGTTGATCGTGTCTTTCTAGATATATACTGATACCTATATGCGATTGATTTACATGACTTACCCTTAGCATCGCTGAATTGTGCTTCTTGCGACAAGCGCATTTCGCGGGGAAGCTTCAGGATACCTGACTTCCACAACCCCTAGACTCCACTGTCATCCTTGGTTCACTGCGTTCTAATCTGATCCATTCAGAGAGATGGGTCACTCAGCAAGCCTGTCGTCATGGTTGGTACTGGCATGTGTTATGTCCAGTGTGTGTGCAAATAAAAAGCCATTCAACATTAATGATGATATTCTGGCATATCCCCAGGTAGGTTGGATCTGCCTTGCACCTATCTGAAACACATTTAACGCTGAATATTGCCCACAGTATCAAGTGACATTCCCCGAGGAGTATGTGCTTGAATCTCACGCGGAAGCATTACTCCAGTCTCAGGCCAGCCCCGGTGGCAACGACCAGAATAATCCCCAAGTCTATATGGGCAAAGGCCGAACGGACCCTACCGACCAGCCCGAGGATGTGAATCGATCTTCCTTCACTTACGAAGAAATGATACTCGAGGACCGGCGACTCCTCTGCCAGATCCCGCGTGTCACTAACAACGACCATAATGCAACGAGAGACAAGGAGAATAACAAGGCCGAGGAGCAGAAGGAGCTAGCTCGAGCAACGGATCGTGGTCTGGAACTCCTACGTGAAATGGAAGGGAAATGCATGTACTATTTCTCTGGTTGGTGGTCCTACTCCTTCTGTTATCAGAAGCAAATCAAGCAGTTCCATGCACTCCCTGCTGGCCGTGGTGTCCCTAACTACCCACCCATTGAAGACACCCAAACGCATTCCTTCGTCCTGGGAAGATTTATCGGCGACAAGAGTGAGGAAGAGAAGCCATCTGCCAAAACAGATGTGGCAGAGCTTCACACAAAAGGTGGCTCGCGGTATCTAGTTCAACACTTGCGTGGTGGTACCAAATGTGATCTGACGGGGCGCGAGCGCAAGGTTGAAGTGCAATTCCATTGTCACCCACAATCGACAGATCACATCGGCTGGATCAAGGAGCTCACCACGTGCTCTTACCTAATGGTAATCTATACCCCTCGTCTATGTGATGACGTTGCTTTTCTGCCACCACGGCAGGATGAGATACATACTATTGAGTGCCGTGAAATCTTGATGCCTGATGAAGTCACCGAATGGGAGGCGATCAAAGAGTGGTACATGGTCAACCAACTGGCCGATGCTGCTACAGATGCGGATGGTGATGTCGCCCAATCCGAGCTTCCGATTATCGGAGGAATCGAGGTCGGAGGCCGTAAGCTTGTTGGCATGGAGGGCAAGGTAATTGAGAAAGGGCGTGTGGCATCTGCAGGCGAGGAGCGAGTGGAAGTGGTTGCGAAACGCGAGAAAGGCGAGATCCGGAAAACATCCAAGCAGGTTCTAAAAAAGTACGACATCGACGCGGAGAAACTGGAAGAGATGAAGAATCTGTTGGAAGAAGAAGCAGATGGCAAAGACTGGACGCTGCAGGTTGTGGAAAGCAACGGCGTGATCAAGTTCCAAGGCGTCTTTGCTGAAGACGAGGAAGACACTTGGAACGAGAACCCGACAGAGAGAGTACACGAAAAGGATCCCGAAAGTTCCGCTGGCCAGAATTCAAAGCAGGGAGAGGTCGAAAAGAAAAAGCAATCTCCAAAGCCCGAAAACAGCGAGGGTAGCGAGGAGACCTTTAAAGATGAACTATGATTTTGTATAGTAGATCTTGTACACTTCGAAATTTCTCCTCCTTTTTTTAAAAAGCTTCTCATTCAAATGATGTGTTTTTTTTTTCCAATCTTGAGCTAGGAAGATGTTACTTCGAAATTCAAGTATCTCATGCTCTGTACATTTGTTCATTTCGTAGAAATTGATACTCGTCCTAATCCTGGACTTCTTCAGTGTAACAAGTCCACTTCTATGCTATCTAGTCCATTTTGACAGCCATTTCACAAAACTCCAGGGGAATTTACTCTGTAGATGTACGTCAGTTGCTCCAGTTGCGGAGCTGGGGCTTTAAATAGAAAAGAAAAAGTCCGGAGAATGAAGAGAACCCAATAACGAATCAGATGGTAAAAGAAAAATCAGGCCAAAAGAATTGAAAAGAGAATGTCAAGAACCACTTAGCAAGGCAACGTGACTGTAAACTCCCTAATCGCCTGGCCCACCTTCCCGCCCTCTCTCCCCTAATCCAATCTCACCTTCTCTTCTCCCCTCTCAATCCCTTGCGCCTAGACCTTTTTATTCCCGACATCTCATCCGCATCCCGGCTCACCCTGCTCCACTAAGGAGCGCCAAGGCTGATCAACGGCCATCACCAACTACCGTTTATCCCACTACACTAAACCTAGAGCTGGCACGTTGAAACGCTGCCATTTGCAGCAGACCGTAATTGATCGGTGCCGTCGGATCACAAGTTTGTTTCCAATATGGGTTTCATCGGTGTCTACTCGGCTGTGTACGACTACCAGCCACAGGGACCCGGCGAACTCGACATTCGTGAGGGCGACCTTCTCTATATCTTGGAAAAGAATGCGGACGATGACTGGTGGAAGGCTAAAAAGAAGGCTGGGCGGGAGGATGAGGACGAGCCTGAAGGCCTAGTCCCCAACAACTATGTCGAAGAGGTGAGTTCGCCGGTGGAATGCTTCCGCGCATGCCTTACTACATGAACAATTGCTGATATTAGATGAAATAGGCACGACCAGCGCACAAGGCTACAGCCCTCTTCGACTACACGCGACAGACCGACGAGGAGGTTTCCTTCTCGGAAGATGCTGAGCTGCTGGTGTACGACACCTCGGATCCGGATTGGACATTGGTTGGATACAACTCAGAGTATGGATTTGCCCCATCAAATTACATCGAAATTATCGACGATGCCTTCGCTGCAGCGACTTCTCCTCCTCCACCTTCTGTTCGAGCCGAGCCTGCTGCGCCGACGCTTCCGCAGCGGCCGACGCAGACTGCCCCGGAAGAAACCGAGGCATCGCCCGCCGGCTCTCCGGTTGATATGTCTCACAACCCCGCTGCTGCTGTGATCGCCAGTATTATCCACAAGCAGCATGCCCCCGTGGCTGAGACGACTCGAGATGAGCCCCCGCCACCCAGTCGTCCGGACCGGCCATCGTACGATCAAGCGGAGGAGCGTGAGGATCCCTCGCCGCCCAGTCTGCCGCGTCGACCACCCTCGGAACAAGCGTCCCCACCAACGAACCGTTACTCACCTGAGCCGACGCCGACACCCCGTCCTCAGCAGGCGGTGCCTGATGTGGGTCGTGATGGAACACATGTCATCAAAGCATCTCCCCCTTACAACCGGGCAGGTGAGATGACGCCTCGGTCACCTTCTGGCTATCATATCTACAACATCAATGAGATGGTCGAAGTAATGGGCAAGAGAAAGAAGATGCCGACTACTTTGGGAATCAACATGGCTACTGGAATCATCTTCATTTCTCCAGAAGGTGATGATCGACAGAAAGAATGGAGTGCAGAGAAGCTCACCCATTACTCGATCGAAGGAAAGCATGTGTTTGTTGATCTTATCAGGCCTAGCAAGAGCATCGATTTCCATGCAGGTGCCAAAGACACTGCCTACGAGATCGCAGCGGCACTCGGTGAGATCGCCGGTGCCTATCGGGCAGAGGGATTGCGTGAGGTGCTCGAGGCGGGAGAAGGCGGCGGTCCTAAGAAGGGCCAGATCCTGTATGATTTCATGGCGCAAGGCGACGATGAAGTTACAGTAGCTGTGGGAGACGAGGTCATTGTCCTTGATGATACCAAGTCCGAAGAGTGGTGGATGGTACGGCGATTGAAGAATAACAAAGAAGGCGTCGTTCCCAGCAGCTATGTTGAAGTCACAGGATTGATACCCAAGGCGCCACCAATGCCTCACGAACCTGGCCTGTCGAGTGTCGAAAAGAACCGGATGGAGGAGATACGGCTGTCCAAACTTGCGATGAGCAAGTCACGGACGGACTCGATGGATTCATCGGACCGTCACAGCAAGCGCGACAGCAAAATCAAGTCGAAGCCTGATCCGACCAAGGTGCGAAAGTGGACGGATCGGACGAAGGACTTCACTGTGGAAGCCCAGTTCATAGGTCTCCAGGATGGTAAAATCCAGCTTCACAAGGTGAACGGTATCAAGATTGCTGTCCCTATTTCGAAGATGTCTGTTGAGGATCTTGAGCATGTGGAGAAGGTCGCCGGCGTCTCCCTGGATGAGGACAAACCTCTTTCAAGCATCCGACCTCGAGTTGCCATCAATAAAGACAAGGAACCCAAATCCGGGGTTTCCAAGGCTGGTGCTTCTGTGCAACGTTCCGACTACGATTGGTTTGACTTCTTCCTTAAGGCTGGCGTTGGACCACATCGCTGTGAGCGATATGCACAATCATTCAACAAGGATGCAATTGACGAATCTGTGCTCCCTGACATTACATCTGAGATCCTTCAGAATTTGGGATTAAATCTAGGTGATACCTTGCGAGTGATGAAGGTTTTGGATACCAAATATGGCCGTATTCCGGACAAGTCCAGGCCTCGAAATGTCAGTTTCGGCGGTGAGGAAGTCATTGGCAATGGCAATGGCGAGGACGGAGGGCAAGGTGGTCTGTTTTCCGGACCCGGTGGTGCGTTGCGCAACAACACTCGCAGAGGCAGACCAACACCAAATGTTCAAGCAGGAGCGGTTGATCCCAAAGCGTTTGAACAGGGAGACGAACCTAAATTACCAGATAGCTCAGCGAGCCCACCACCCTCTGCGGCAGCCGACAAGCCTGCTCCAGCCGGATTTGACGATGATGCCTGGGAGGTGAAGCAGCCGAAGCATCCTGCTAGGCCCTCTGCAGCCGCCACCCCGACCCCACCGCCGGCAGCAGCTCAAGTTCCTCAGCCAACAGGGGCAATGGCGGATCTGACTTTGCTCCAAACTCCATTGCAGCCGACACCGGCTCAGCCTATTGCCCCGCCTGCCCCGCCCATGTCTGCCCTACAGCCGCCGGTCACTGCTGTGCAATCACCAGCTGTACAACAGCCTCAACAAACGGGTGCCACCCCCAGCTTGTTTGCGCAAGTGGCACAGATAGGACAGAATCAACAGGGGTTCAGCCCCCAGCAGACTGGGTTCCAAGCACAGGCCAGACAACGCCCTCAAGCCCCGCAGACAGTTGGACAGAATTCACTTCTACCTCCGCCTCCGCCTCCGCAGCGCCCACTGTCCGCGCCTCAGAACTTCTCGCAGCAGCAAAACTCCTTTGGCCCCCCTCCATTGCAGGCTCAACTGACGGGCCTTCCCCAGGCGGGTCCACCTGTTGCTCCTCCTGGTCAGAGTCTGAGCGAGTTGAACCAGCTGCGCTACCAAGCTGCGATGCAGCCGCAAGCAACAGGATTTATGGGTCAACCTCAATACCAGAATGGCTTGATGCCGCAGCCCACAGCGTTTACTCCCCAGTCACAATTCGGTATACAGCAGCAGCAACAGCAACAGCCATTTGGTAACCAAATGGCCCCTCAACAAACTGGGTTCCAGGGACTTGTGCCGCAGCCCACAGGCTTTGGTGGATACGGGCAATTCCAACAACCAATGCAGACTGGTATCAACTCTGTCCTTCCTCCTGCACTGCAACCGCAACCCACTGGTGCCAACGGCTACGGCAACCAGCCTTACACATCTCCGCCCCCTGTGCCGCCAATTCCCCAGCAACCAACAGCCACTCCTCTGTCACCACAGAAAACCGGACCGCCTCCCTCCATCAGATTTGGTGTCAAGCCAGATGGCCCCAAGAAGCTTGAGCCACAACCGACTGGACTCAGAGCTAACCTTGCGCAAGCCAGTCAGTGTTTTCTTCCCATCACAAGTGATTTTAGTAACAAAAACTAACTCGATCAACAGCCCCCAATAATCCGTTCGGCTTCTAATTTGCTTCTTTGTTTACTCATACTAGACTGGCATATATGATCCTGGTCTCCTGGCAATTCACCCTATGTTGCCCTGAAGATTTGCTCGTTCTGAGGCCGGGATGTTCTTTTCACATATCGCAGCTTGTCCTTTCGAACCAGTGCCCTTGGAATCAACACGTGTACATATCATGACCCTGGTCCCCGTTTTGACGCAGCGCGTATCAAAGCTCATGCCACGAATCTTCCTCTCTTCCCCTTGCAAAATCCCCCCGCACTTAGCGAGCTATCCATATTCCTTTCCTGTATTCTGTGACAAACATGCTCTCATATCCTGCATGTTTCAGTGTCACTAGCTTATTGTCATATAAATCTGTCTATGGTGATGCTTATTGTGTGGATGCCCTCTCTTTCTCCCTTTTCCTTTGTCGTTTGGATAATTCCTTTTATTTTTGCTCACGTTCTCTCCCTGGTTACCAGCTCTTACACAATCCATGGAGTTGTCGGTATTTAGCCTGGTCCACTTAGTCCATGAGGTAAATCTTTCTAGGCACCGCTACCTAGATCGAACTCTTAGCTGTAGTGTAAAGATCAGAGGGGTATGTCACGACTCGAAACGAGGCCCCTTCCTTTCTCCCTTGTCTCTCGGCTTCACACAGTGCGTGTGTGCTTTAGCCCCCCGAATGGAAGGTTCACGACGCATCATTGATCCAACTCTGAAGGGCTTTGTTTTATTACAAGCCGAATCTGAACAAAGTCTGAATGGAGTCTGCAGCTGGGTCATAGAAGCTCCTGGGACCCCTTAAGCCATGATATCTACATCGCTAGACATCGAGATTTCCCATACACGATGGCTGTGAAACACAGCCTTGTGCTACGTAGCAATATTTCACCATTCAAAGCCCCCAAGGTTAGTCTAGTTACCCGTCAATGTGGCCTCAATCCAGGCCAATTGCTGTGGAGATTGCTTTTCGTACTTCCCAAGACAAGCGTTGAATCATTGTACATAGCATCGAACACAAAAGAGACCTACACGGTATCATACCTGACAAATTGAGATGAGATAAATAGCACAAAGAGCATGCGACGATCGAACCTCAACTGGATTATCCCGCAATGCCCTGACAGATTTCCCAAAAAGAATCAAGGCATCAATGGGAACTTTTCTGCCATGAAGACGATGTAGAAAGGGATGTGAAGAGAAGAAAAAATGCCTGCGCGGTAGCATCCAATATGGCACTTCCTCCGAGTCATCTGGGTATCTCCTTGAGAAAGGGCGGCAAAAAACAAGATGCCGAAGCGAATATCGCTTATACCGTGAGCTTCGATGAACTGATTGACTAGTCAATTGCAAGGAGCTTGCAAAATGACATTCAGATTCGATCGAACTCGAATTTCCCTATGGCTGTGGGGTTTTGTGACATTCTGAAATGGATAACGCTGTTGCCCACTTCTCTCACAAGGTGGTGCCGGAGGCACCGTGGGCAGGGTTTTTGTTCATCACACTATATTCATCGGAATTGGGATCCGGCAATTCTCCGGGGAATTGCGGCAAGATATCCACATACATGCATGCTTTTCCCGATTTGGTAATTTGGTGCCCTCCGAAATCTGATCAATGTCACGACAGTACATGTTGGTATTGATTCACACAAAATGAATCCATTCACCCTTGGGGGGTGTATATCAATGAACACGTCCAATGACACGGACAAAAAAGGCACGAGAGAAAGTCGTTGCATCATAGATATCCCCAGAAGAAAAAAAAAACACCCCAGATCTGCGCCGGAACTCCCCTTTTCCATCACATGTTGAACCTTTTGAAACACATGTTGCTTTCGAGGAGCACCGAGAAATCACGACTCATCGCCCCAGATGCCAAAAACTGGAAGATCCTCGGCCATATACAGCAGACCATTATCTGGGAACATCACGTCAGAAAGCGGGGATGGGCCGGACACTGGGGGCGGACCGGAAGGGATAGTCCCGCCGGGAGAACAGCCCACCGGGATGCCCGAGGTAGTTAATGCAGAAATGGCTGCATCGTAAGACAAAGCTGCGGTGGGGTCTGAGCCATTGCACAGGGCTTCCCAAACATCGTTGTCAGTTGAAAGTTGGGGTTGAAGGGGCGGTTGGGGGGGGATGTATGAGGATGGAGTTCCAATAGGCATTTTGTCGGCAGACGTAGGGGATAGTGCAGTTGCAGAGTGAGCATCACTTGGGCCAGTTAAAAGTGGAGCTCCTGGGGTCGGAGAGTTACGATCCTCATCACCACCTACTTGGCCAAATAACTGGTCGACCTGCTTGCTACGCCTATTCATCCACTGCCGATTTCGCCGGGAAACGTATTCGGTTACAGCAGCGCGGAGGTATTTGATGATCTGGAAGAAACGGCATGCATGTGGATCATGCGGGACAAATAGCCCTAGAAACCGTTCGGCTTTGTTCATTCCTTCTTCCAGGGGGAGCATGTTATCGTAGTCGGCAAAGAATGCAGCGCCGAGGACAATAACAGAGTTAAAAACGGAGTTGATCAAGAAGGGTAGTCGACGTGGAAGGGAGGTGTAGTGACTGAGATCATCGACAACATCTAGACCACGGAGTGCGGAATAGACACATGCATCGGCATACAAGGATATTCGGGAGCTGCCGTTTTGAGTGTCTGAGGATGAATCGGATTTGCCTTTGACATACTGGGCGACACGGTATATGAGGAATGGCCTTGTCAATAAGATAATCGACCAGTAATATGACCCGAATAAGTGAGCTGCAGCTAGGCTGTTTTCGATCAATTTGGTTTCGTGCCGCTCAGATTGCATTTTGAGGATTGTTGGCAGAATGCGAACCCAAGCCCGATGCTGGTTGGAGATCATCTCTGCAACATTGATCGATATGACTTGCTTCATGTACACATCGGTCAAGATTCGCTCGAATATTCGACAAAGCGAAATCACAGCAGCAGAAAGCTGTTGGTCTGCGGTCAATTGATGTTGTAATTCCCCCGAAATAAGAGCATCTTCTCGTGTATCATAGTCGTAATCTGAAGTTGCGGGAGGGCGTCCCAGGGAGGCGCTGAGGAATAGATCCATCATCCGAAGACTCTTCCAAACTCGCTCCCTCGCTCGGCGCTCACGCCCACCAAAAAGCGCATTTGCATCCTTGCGGTGAATTCCTACTGCATAGGAAGCACGTAGAGCAATCCCCAGGTTCATAAATGCACCATTGCGCCTGCATGCGCCGAGCATATACATGGAGACCAAAATGTATGATTGAATGGTGGATATGCTCGGGGTTTCCTGAAAGGCCGAGAACGCCAATTGACGACCGCTTCCAAAATATTGTTCAGCTCTTTTCTGGTCAAAATCGGAAACCTGGGCTCCAATGGCAAGGACAAGATAGAAGATAGAGCTAACGATATCTTCGTCACTCGATGGGTTTGCAATCCAATTAGCTAGCCGTGGATGGAACTCTTCCTGATCAAATAAGTCAAGCAATGGGCTTGTAGCAAGCAAAAACTGGCCAGCTAGTCGTTGGGCTTCTTTGTTGTTTGGTGGCGCAACTAGAGCTCCGGGCTGGGTGCCTGGGTTGCCCTGAAAAGCTTCGAGCATTGAGTGTCGCGAGTTGTCCTCGGTGAACTCACATCGGCCAATAGAACTTGTCACAACACGGCGTAGACTCTGTAAAAATGACAAACTTGCTGAATCACCAATGTACATAAATTTTCCCTGACCGTCGCGCAGAAGCCGCGCCACTTTTGGCACGGGAGCCATCCCTTCTTTCTCATCTTTTTCCTGGCGCTCTATATTCATTCCTTCGTCCTCAAGAGAGTTCAAGAGGCTGTCCATTGCCGTTTCGCGCTCCGGAGACGCTATCATGCGCTCACTGAGCAACATTGTCGAATCCTTGGCGTCTGGCTTGAGTAGGCGTGCGGGCCGATCCGAGAAGTGGCATTCCGACCCCTTGTGCCTCTGGACACAGATTGTACATGGTTGTTCACCGTTGCATTTCTGTTTTCGCCGTTTACAGCTATCGCAGGCTCGTCGACATCGGAGCCGCGCTCCCGGGGTAGTGCTGGCCCGAGGCATCCCGATCGTGTCGCGTTTAGTGAATAGGTCGGGTCACTTGTCTGGGGTTACTGTGGTAATCATCGAGACGTGTAACTGAACCGATTGAGCTGGGGCAATTTAGATTGATTCAAGTCATTGCTGAGGTCTCATATAATGTCAATGCCAAAGTGCGGGCGTTTGCTTTCCCCGGACTCCACCATGTGACTAAGCAGATTCATCCCACCCGTGGACCTGCCCAGGCACCTCTCGGGGTGCACATACAACATGCATGAACTTGGATTCAAAATCTCGAACGCATCGACACATTGACACGAAATGGAAACATGTACTTCAAGTCCAAATTCTTTGAAATATCATGGCCGGAACGACACTATCTTGCCCCAGGTGTCGGCAGTGCCCCAGATGCCAGTCCGCAGGCATTCTAACTGCACAATCTGGCTATGATCCACAAAAAGGTTGACATCAATACCAAATTCACGAACGTACCAATTAAAAACCTTGGGATCTGCAGCTTCAAACATGACACGCTCAGGAGGAAGCTCCTTCATGATCTTTGACACTACATCAGTCCGCCAGGAGTTGACGTTTTCGGTAATACCTTCCGATTCAATCATCAATCGTTTCACACCCGCGTCGAGGAACCTACGACCCAAGTTCACCAGTTTTCCAGGGTCAGAGGTCCCAATCGATTCAAGTCCCGAGGCAGGTGTGTCTCCACCGGCTCCGAATTGAATTCCCAATTCAGGCTTTGGTTCCAACTTGTATGAGTGGACTTTGTCAATAAGACGGAGCCAGTCATCCTCTGGGAATGATAGAAAACCAGAAGACAGTTCAATCACATCGAATCTATGTTGACCAGTCAGATTTAATAATCAGGCTCCTGAACATCGAGTTGGGGATGCACGTACCCGAGATCCTTGCATGTCTTCAAGTACCGGTCAAATATCGGATCTGGGTCGGGATGTGCGAGGAGATGCTCAGCCCATCCACCCTGAAATGTCGAATCTAGTGTCAAAGGCATGCTTCCAGATGCGCTAATTTGCTGACCTAAGACAGTCTTACCGTTGAAATGTACACACCGTGCTCATGGGCTAGATCGACCAGCTCCCGCAGTGGTTTCTCGTAAAAGAGAGAAAAGGCACCTAAGTCTGCCTCAGCACTCCTGTTTCTGGCGAGAACGGAAGCCCTACTGGAACTCACCTCCGGCAAACTTAAGACCATCTACATGGTCTCCCATCCTATAAGATGTTAATCAGATATCATTTGATGAGTAGTGAGGACAGTGCGTAACATTACGTCTCGAGGATGTCTGCGAGATATCTTTTCCCCATGACCTGGCTTTGGTTAGGTGCGCGGGACACAATGATAGGACTCTATGGCACTTACCGAGTAGTATGGGCCCCGGATTTCAGTGACGCCCCTGTTTCTGGGCTTTGCAGGTCTGGGGTTTGACCGCGCGAAGCCAAAGCCATTCTGCCTGTCTTGCAGCAAGGTGACTCCTTGATAGATGTTTGACGTGGCAGAAAATTGTCTGGATGGGGTCAATAAAGCAATGGCCGCTTGTGATGAGGTGCGACTCATTACGCGCCCTGCTTTAAATGGAATAACAGACAACATAGTCAGACAGTTATCAGTGGCCAGGTGGATTGAGTTGAATTTGGCTTTGGCTTTGTTAATTTTATCTATTACATGTGTGTGTTGGAAGGGTTGACGTCAAATCGACTTCATTTGAATCTCAAGGTACGACATTACATAGAAACGAGCAAAGATTACATCACTCTAGATGTATAGCGTGTGCGGAGTTATATACGGAGTAGTCCCTTGTAATATTACTGTGGTACACGCGCATACATTTGTATACTCTGTTTGTACTCCGTAGGGTACGTATTGGAACTACACGGACCTCGGGAGGAAAGAGATACACACTAGTCCTACTATGTACTAGTGCTTAACCTCAACCTTGGATATGCTATGACAATTTTAAGACAAAATCAGACAATTAGCGCCGGCTCGGATACCGGAGACTCTGCAAGGCGAAGTTCGGCGGGCGTTTCGGAGGTTCGGCAAGAGGAGCTCCGACGTACTTTGTACATGTTTTTCTAGAGAAATTCCGGGGCACGATACGAGTACGAAGTGCATTTAACGTACAATAAACTCACGTCAAAGGTACGTTCAAGCTAAATTCACAGCATTTTAAAGGTAAAATCTAGGGAACATTGCGAATTACATAAATTACATATAGTTATCTAACTATGTTGTATACACATGTACCTGTGTACCACGTATGTTTTGGCCTTGGCGAATATGGTAAGAGGTCACATGCATCCACATAGTATAACTTATGCACAGCCCTGGAGATATCATGTTATATGTCCACCTGGGCATGTCCAATCAACATCCGTTGGGTCCAGCGATGGCTCCCGCCAAGAAAAAAGCCAACCTTGTGGATTCCGGTTTTGACACCTTAGCTGTTCGTCACAAGGAAAAAATGCCCGTAAAAAGCTAAAAAAAAAATTTTTTTTTCCTGTGTCCTTGATTCCGGTGACCCCCGCCCTGTCTTGGCTGCCCTGGCACCTGCCCTGGGCATTTCTTGATTTTGCATGCCAGATGTGGCCCTAAATCATCCCTTCTCAGTCATCTAACCTATTCTAATCCCCTCATTTTTAAGGTATTTCTTTTTATCACCAAGGTACCTTTCTCTTCCATTTTCCCTTTGAGAATCGGTAGGTACTGGTTCCTTGGTCTGATACCTATCATGGGAGCTGGAGCGGTCATAGAGCCGCTGGTGGTTATTGTTCTCTTGTTTGGAGGTACTTGGATTAACCGCTCTGTCGGATCATCCTCGACTCGGCGCTACAGCCGACGGAATTCGAACCTTCAACGAGCTGTTTCATCTGATTCTTTGGAGTCAGGATACTCGAGCCAATCGACAAAGGATGGCCTTCTAAGCTCTCGGTCCCGCTCACCACAAACCCCGGAAGATGGATGGCACAAGCGACAGGTTGGAATCCTGGGGTTGAATTTTCAGGTGTCATCGCCGAATACTATCGTGTTCCAAGACCGCTTACTCAGTCGGTTGCTACGGAAATTTCCCTTCTTGGTAGAATGTTGGTACTGGGCTTTGGTCTACTGGGTAGGTTGATTTGTTATCTACTTCCGTATCGTTAGTCTTGGCCCAACCGACAGCTTACAATTTGTGTAGACGTACCAGCTCGGTCGCGCCTTTACCGCCGTGACTCTCAAGGATGACACTGTCGACGTCGCGAGAAGACATGCATTGAAACTGATCGTGATTGAGGAGAAGCTGGGTATGTTCTGGGAGACCTCGATCCAACGATACTTCCTTCACCGCCCCCTTGTCATGTCTTGGATCAATTGGATTTACTCCTTCATACACATTCCCGGGACGATCGCGTTCCTTGTCTGGCTCTATTACTATACCACCGTGCGGGATCGGATCGATGAGGCTCAGCCCGGAAAGCCCAAGGGTGCTGTGAGTGGGTCGCCTGCGGGGCCTCTTCTATACCAGGCACGCCGTCGGACTTTGGCCGTGTGCAATCTTCTCGCATTTGTGGTGTTCACTCTTTGGCCTTGCATGCCACCTCGGCTACTGAGTGACCCAACCGTGGGTGGCGAAGAGGCGGATCTAGCCCGCAGTTATGGGTTTGTGGACACGGTGCACGGTGTCAATGGATCGGGCAGTGTTTGGACGGAAAACCGTTTCTGTAATCAATATGGCAAGTGTTTCCCGGCCCGAAGCTCGATGAATCCTTGACTGACTGTCACCAGCGGCAATGCCTTCCTTGCATTTCGGCTACTCTTTAATGATCGGCCTCACGCTGATAACAATCCCTTTGCCCCAGCACAACCGGCGCACAATCCTTCGTTCTCGGTTGACTCGTTCCCTAAGACTAAACCTCCCGTCGTGGCAGCGCCTTGTTTGTGTCATACTCGGCTTCCTATATCCGTTTACCATCCTTGTGGCCATTGTTGCCACAGCCAACCATTTTATCCTGGATGCTGTAGCGGGAGCTATCGTATGTGCCTTGGGGTGGTATTTTAATCGAGTGCTGCTCAACCTGTTACCACTGGAGGACTACTTCCTTTGCCTCGTCCGGATCCATAAGCCGGAACCGTCACTTCTCGATGTCCTTGGAGAAGATCTCTCCACGAGTGAGACTGCTTCAGAACCTGCTCGCATATGAGTCCACTCACCAGGGTTTGGCATTACATGGTTGATTCGACTTTGGATTCAGCGTCTTTGCTTTAGAACTAGATACCCTGTATGAAACCCCACCAGACCGGCTGGTCTGGTTTATAATCTGTGTATATGGACCTAGTCATTGTTACCCCGTTATCTCTGTGGGATTGACCGTTGTACCCTGATGTCTCTCCTGTACCTAATCAGCCACTAATATGTTTATGCAAGATTATTTATTTGCTAAAGGAGCATGAAAGACAACCTTGGAAGCATTTGGGGATGATCTAAATACTCCTTTTGTATGGCATAATTATCACAGTACATACAAAGACCATCTAAGCACTACAGACCCAGACACCATGTAGTATCTCTTTCATCTGTAAAGTATAAATACCTCTTGGAGCTAGCATCAGATTGGAAAAGGCATGAAATTGCTTCATCTTAGGGTTTGGGGGGGGGGGGGGTTGCACTTACAAGTATAGAAGTCAAGATGCGTCGAGGAAGATATATCAACCCATTTGATTCTTTCACTCGACCGTTGTGTTCGCTCCCATTCAAAAACAACAGCCCATCCAATAATACAGATGCCCAGTGTGCTTGATCACATATTACGTTGTCGTCAACGAGTGTACCGCGGTTAAATAACGTGAGCAACTTCCAGGTATAGCGTCGCAAGCTCCCTACATGGCCCTTGATTTCACGGTCTGCTCACACTTGGCTGATTTCACAGTACGTTTCAGAAGCATCCAACACACTCTTGATACCGGCGGCCTATTCGATCTATCATGGGTTTTCTATCGCTTTGGTGAGTGATGACTACCTACAAAAGCTTGCAAAGCAGTTGTAAAAGAACTTATAAAGAGCTAGGGCTTACAACCCAACACGAATACACAAACTCGGGACCAGACTGTCATAGGGGAAAAGGAGCACGTCACTTTTCTTACAATTCTTTCCTTGTGATCAGGCTGGTTTGAATCGATGAATTGGCGAAAGAATCTAATCTTTGAAGAATGCCAGGTTCATCTGCACGTGCCCAGCCATGCCCCAAGTATCGCGATAATTCGAGGTGTAAAAGACCTCTCCTGGCACTTCACAGGCGTAGTATGTCTGCCAACTGTGAATGACCGGATTTCTTCAAAGGAAAAAAAATCACAACACAAAAACAAAACACAGTGACTCCTGCATGTCAATCAACTTCGCGCCAATTGCTTTTGTGCCGTGTTGTCCAGATATCCGGTGGTTGTGAAGCCATATCCGAGTACGAGGGACGTTTGTTGACTCTTTCAGCTGCTGTGTGCTATGTGCAATCAACCAGACACCAAAGGAGGTCACAAAGAATAACGGTCGTTCCTTCGCTTTACATCGAAAGATCAGCCTATTTACCATCTGCGATACGCAGTCGGCAATCCCACAATTCCCATCAGGCTTCACTCGTCACTTCCTCTTCGCACCCAATAGGGAGTTGACAATCAATAATCCATATTGGCATCTTGAATACATCCTCCTATTGTGAAGCACCTATTGTCTATTGACAATCTTCAAAGAGGTAGGATTGCAAGGATATCACTAATCACTACCCCTATATGCATTGTGCAACCTTCTTCTAAAATACCACCCCCACGGCTGTTCAAATCTGAAGAGCGAAGCAAACCATCGTTCACATCTCAAATTCACCGCTTTACTACTGTTGTGTGGTGACTTGAAAGTTGTGGCGTCATTGGGATCTTCCGTTCTCAGACGCGTCTTGAAGTTCCCGCGCCTTTCGCGACTCTTCTTTTCTCCACATCTCTTCTACCCTCCCCTGGAAGCTCCTCCCACCACTTGCACCAGCTCCAATCTACCAATCGTCTACTGAATTTTTAAATTTTCTCATCCCAGCTTGCCATCATGGCTGACGATGCCCCCGTGTCTGCGCCCGTCGAGGGCGATCGGCCCGAGCACGCCACTGAGCAACCCACTGACCCCGAGAAGAAGTCCGAGGATGTGACTGTGTCGGAAGACAAGCCTGCCGGTAAGTATCGATTGATGGATATCAATCAATCGTCTTGCGCATTCGTCACTCAACGCTGTTCCCCGATGGGGAGATCCTGTTTCTGCGCGACACTAACCCACTGTTTCTTTCAGACACTGAAGCTGCGACCGACAAGAAGACGGACGCTGAAGCTGAGGCTGATAAGCCAGCTTCCTCTGATGAGGTTTCAGAGGCCAAGGTTGATGGCGAAACCGCCAAAGATGCACCTGCCGATGCAGAGGCCGCTGCGCCCGCGGAGGCCAACGGAACCGCTGCCTCAGCGAAGAAGTCTTCCAAGAACCGCCGCACCTCCACCGGTGCCACCCAGAAGCTAAGCCGCAAGAAGTCCCAAAGTCGCATCACCCATCTGGACGCTAAGCCAGGCCAAACTTATCTTGCGCGCCTTCGCAGCTATGCGCCCTGGCCTGCCATCATCTGTGACGAGGGCATTCTGCCTCCTAGCCTGCTAGAAAGTCGCCCTGTTACCGCCAAGCAAAAGGATGGATCTTACAAGGGCGAGTATGGTGACGATGGCAGACGCGCCCATGAGCGTACCTTCCCCGTCATGTTCTTCGAAACCAATGAATTGTGAGCCGGCCATCTACGCAACCCTTATGGCAGACGCGAACTTTAGACTGACTAAATATTTTTTTTACAGCGCCTGGGTTCCCAATACCAACCTGACCCCTCTCGACCCTGCCGAGTGCAAAAATATCTCTGAGAAGAATAAAACCAAATCCCTCGTCAATGCTTACAAGGTTGCATCCGAGGGTCACAACCTTCAGTATTTCAAAAAGCTCCTGAACGACCACCAGGCAGCTCTTGACCAGGAAGAGGCTGAATTTGAAGCCCAGGAGGCAGAGAAGGTAGCTGCCAAGGCCGCAAAGGAGGGCAAGAAGGGCAAGCGCAAGAGTAAGGGCGCCGAGACTGATGTTGAAATGGAGGATTTGGATGACTCCAAGAAGTCCAAGGCTCCTTCCAAGAAGCGCAAGAAGGATGTCGAGACCGATGCTGAAGCGGAAAAGGTATGTTTAACAGGATCATGGTGATGATCTCGCTCAGCTCACGAAAATATAGCCCGCTAAGACTCCCAAGTCTAATACAAAGCTGAAGTTGACCACTCCCAAGGCTCCCGCCGAGGACACTGGAAAGAAGACTCCTGCCAGCAAGACCAAGAAGGCACCTGTCAAGAAGGGCAAGGCGGCTCCCGCTGTCAGCGACGAAGGAGACAGCGCCGATGCCAAAGAATCCGAGAAACCCATTGACCCAGAGGAGTTGAGAAAGAAGAAGGAGAAAGAGAGTACGCGATCCCCCATCTCCCTCGACGAGCCCGACCAGGCCAGCTTATACCTTACAGTTTTGTTCCTCCGTCACAAACTCCAGAAAGGCTTCATCTCCCGCGACCAACCCCCTAAGGAAGATGAAATGGCTAACATGGCCAGCTACTTTGACAAGTTGGAGAAGCATTCGGACTTGGAGGTGTCGATCATCCGTTCCACCAAGATCAACAAAGTCCTGAAAATGATTGTCAAGCTCAACTCCATTCCCCGTGATGAGGAGTTTAACTTCCGTCACCGTGCCATGAGCATTTTGTCTAGCTGGAAGAACATCTTAGACGCGGACACTCCCGGCCTGGCGGACAAGGATGAGAAGCCAGCCGTCAACGGATCCAAGGAGGAGGATGGCGTTGAAACCCCCAAGCTGGAGACAGAAGAGGAAAAGGAGCCCGAGTCCAAGTCAACTAAGGATGATGATTCCCCAATGCCCGATGCGGATGAAAAGGTCCCTGAGCCTGAGGAGAAGGCAGTTGAGGAGCCCACGGAGAAGTCCGAAGAGAAGTCCGCCGAGGCTACTGCTCAACTGGTCTAGGAATCACGACTCTGCGATGTCTGTTTTCTTTTATCCATTTCCGCTCTCATTGTTCTCTTCCTTTTCTCTGTTTCAATCTACGCGATTCCGCCGGTTTGTTTTTTTTTTTATCTTTTTTGTCACCTGCCAATGCAATACTGGGATATGGGGCTGGACCAACCAGCAAGGCTTCTTTGAATCAATTGAAAAATGTGATTGTTCCTTTTTTTTTGTCGGTTTTTGTACACTGACCTGTTTCCTGACCATGGAGCATGGGATTTACCTAGCTCTGGATCTTGCCTAGAGGTTGCACGCCAATGGTCTCTTCGATGTCAAGCCGTGCACCAAATTCGGCTCAGCGTATCGGAGAGAATGTTGTTCAATGACGCGGAAATGAACAGGAAGGTTCCTAAGGGTGTGTGATGGAGAGGCTATGTCTTCTTCACTGCATGTATTGAGCTCTTGAATACAAGGATCCATTTGAATTAGTAAAATAGTAGATTAGTAAGTTGTGAAAACATGTTGGTAAGGCTTTGGGAATGTCGAATTCCATGCAATTGGGGTTCTGCTTATAAAATCTCTGAATGTAGTCAACGTATCGACGGGGAAGCATTAAATGCTGATATGCCTAGCTCTTTACAAATCAAAAATCCCCACGCCATTCACAAATGAATGCAGTAATACACCATGCTCCTCGAAAATAAATGAGAAAAAAAAAAAAACAGTGTTACGCCGGTTCGATGAAATCTTCAGGTTTCTTGTATAAATCACTTACGCCTCTCTCTGGCAGCAACGTTATCATCGACAGCGATGACAACCACAACGCAGATATCATCAACCTTCCCGCCACGGTAATAGTCACCAGGGTGGTAGCGCTGAGCCTCCTTAGCAAAGGGCCCATCGCGGCGATAGTCGACACTAGCAATTTTTGCCTCGCCGGCAATCGTCGCTGCGAGAATCGACTGCAACGTGACTGCACCCTCAGGTCCGGACTCGTTATTAGCCGGGTCCTTGGAAGGCAGCGAGCCCGACTGAGTAGGAAGAGCATCAGCCAATCTACCCGGCGCAGCCAGCGCACGCAGATTCTCAGAAACCCCAACGCCAGACTCCGTAGCCGTCCATGCCCCAGTCAGAAGCATACGGCTGGTGACAAGCTTGAGGATATCTTGATTATTGAGATTATCAAAGATCCCATCGGTAGCAATGATGAGCACATCCCCATGCTGCATCTGCAAATTCGTGACCGACGCATCACGGGGGAAGTCCTCCAAAAACCCCCCACCAAAGACAGACGCCTGGGCGCGCATACGCGGAGGAATCACGCTAAGCTGGTATGGGGTGTTGAAAGCATGCGTCTGCGGAACCGAGTAATGATGCACCGCCGCTCTCCGCAACAACACCGAGCCCGAATCACCCAAATTGGCCAATTCGACCCGTCCATCCGGCAGCGCGACACCAACAGAGGCGGTACTTCCACCCGCGCGGATGTTCGAATCCGCCACAACCTGATCGTACCCAGCCTGTATGAGGGATTTAGAGCACAAGCTCTCAGCCGGCTCGTGCCATGTCTGCGCAGTGTGCGCCATGTAGTTGCACAAGCCGTGTGAGAAGTCCGCCGGGTCGACACGGGATTCCGTCCAGCCGCCTACACCATCTGCGACGCCGAAGGCGACAGCTTCTGCGTTTGTGTCTTGGTGGTCTGAGATGCGGTTTCCGATGCGGGTTACGAAGAAGGCGTCTTCGCCTGAGTCTGGGCGGTTGCGGCGGCGACTGACGGAGTTTTTGTCTTTTGAGACGCCTAGGGCATCTGCGGTTGGGTCGAAGTTGTATGTATTTTTAATGGGGTGGAAGCGGCGGCCTTTGCCGGAGGAGGAGACGGCGACGCGGTAGGAGAGTTTAGAGGAGGGATTTTCGAAGTTGTTCGTGGGGGTTGAGCGGAAAGCTCGGCGGGAGGGCTGGCGGGTTAGATTCGGGTTTAGGCGGGTGTCTGGTCTGAGTCCTGCAGTGTGGGATGAGAGGCGGACATGCTGGAATTTGAACAGGGAGGGTATATATGTGTTCGGATTGGTGGAGATGGAATAGACGCCATCTAGTGCGATGGCTCGTAGGCTACTGCAGGCGGAAGTGCAGGCTCTAAAGGAAACACTCGGGATCATCGCAGGCCTTGGGGTTTATTTATAGTCCCCTTGTGAAGAAGATGTCTCCTATATTTGAGAGCAAGAGGAATAAAAGAAGGGGGAACAAAAGGCATAAAAAAAAATCCAAAAATCAACGGATAGGACAGTATCCGCCCTTATCGCCCTGTCGCCTGGCGTCATTGATTTGATACCCGATTTCTCAGGCAGAAATTGTTAAACTGTGTGGGGCTGGGCGTGGTGTGGGTAGAATATATATATACAGAGGGAGAATGAGTACCATCATGGATCTTATATGTGGTTGTGTTCAAATAGATACAACTCGATCAGACGTTGACTTGTACACTCTTCTAACGTGTTACCGCCAAAGTGTATCAATTATTCTGCCACCCGCAACACCTTCTCTCCCGCCAACCTTTCTCTCTTCGCTACGAGATATCCCAATTCTTTTCTTTTACCCAAGCGCGAATCTTTATCTAATCTGTCTCTTGGGTCACCGTAGAAGCATACGCTTCTCACTTGCCCAATATGATGCACCCATCGCGTCAGGCTTATGTCGAGGAGACGGAGGACACAGACATGGGGGGCATCAGTTATGCCGATCTTCGTGAGTTATTCTCGAACTTTGTTTGAAGCCCACTAATCAAACTATAGCCATGGACCAAGACTACGATATGCCCTCTATGGCAGCGGGTATCCCAACTGAGCGGGCCTCCGCTATTCTATCGCAATTCGAACGGAAACGGAGAGCAGCAGCGATGGTGGTTCCAACAGATGACACACGAGTGCGCGCACGACTACGAGAGCTCGGGGAACCCATCACGCTATTTGGTGAAGGGCCATCAGAGCGGCGCGATCGTCTACGTGAACTCTTGACCGACATGGCGGAGCAACAAGGCGGAGTCGAGATAGAAATGGAAGAAGCAGAGGAGGAAGGGGAACAACAAGAAGAATTTTTCACAGAGGGCGGGAACGATTTGCTCGAGGCGCGGAAAGAAATTGCGCGCTTTTCTTTGGCGCGCGCAAAGGCTCGAGTGGCCCGTCTGAAAGACGAATCAACAATTACACTTCGGACGCATATCAAGCATCGCAAAGCTGTCAAGGAGAAGCTACAAGGATTCGATCTTTACGGGTCTCAGATTGCTGGCGATCGTCCGGTTAGCATTTGTCGATTCGCGCCGGATGGACAGACAATTGCTGCTGGAAATTGGAGCGGTGGGATCAAATTGCTCAGCGTGCCCAATCTGGAAGAAAAAGCGAGTTTCAACGCGCACACAGATCGAGTGGGGGGTTTGTCGTGGTTCCCCGGCGCCACCCTCCCCAGCTCGAACGTCTCACCCTCGACTGTCAATTTGATCTCCGGAGGCGGTGAAGGAAATATTAATCTCTGGGCCCTTGATCAAGAAAAGCCGCTGGCTACGTTAATTGGTCACTCGGGGCGTGTATGCCGCACCGAGTTCCACCCTTCAGGTAGATTTGCAGCATCGGCATCCTTCGACAGCTCATGGCGGCTATGGGATATTGAAACAGCAACCGAGCTGCTCCTGCAAGAAGGCCATTCGCGAGAGGTCTATACAGTGGCGTTCAACAACGATGGCTCTCTCGTGGCTAGTGGTGGATTCGACAGCATCGGACGTATCTGGGATCTGCGGACAGGACGCAACGTGATGATCCTCGACGGCCACATTCGCGAGATCTACGGTATGGACTGGGGCGTGGATGGTCACCGAGTGCTGTCTGGTTCCGGCGATGGCTGGGTCAAATGCTGGGACTTGCGACAGATGAAGGAGACTGGTGGGATTGGTGCCCACAAGAGCGTGGTATCGGATCTCCGCTGGTACAAAGGTGTAGAATCTGCGTCATTCTTGCCTTCTACGGATGGCGGGATGGACATTGATGGCGCTCCACTAGCTGCTGATAAAGCAGCGGAAGCGCCCTCACCCAAGAAATCAGGCACATTCTTTGTGAGCAGTGGATTTGATAAGTGTGTCAACATCTTTAGCGCGGATGACTGGTCCCTTGTGAAGTCGCTGAGCGGCCACTCGGGCAACGTTCTCAGTACGGATATCAGTGACGATGCAAAGTGGATTGCTAGCTGTGGTCACGATCGTACCGTGAAGCTTTGGGGGATTGAATGATTCAGGTTCATGTGTTGGGCGTTCAACTATCTGTCTTATACCCCCTAGATGCAAATCGCCTACACGCATAAAAACAGGCTGTAAGCTATGGCTGTTTTTCATTTAACAAGATGCATCGGTATCCTCGTAGAGGCCGTGATCACGTGATCATACGGGGATGACGTAAAGCGGTCCGCCGAGGGTATTTGATCAACTTGTGGAGTTATAGTCCTTCCCTTGACCATAAACACACCACATAGTCATGGCGTTCCGTCCACAGAGGTTTTCGCAGCAATTTTCTCGTACAGCAACCTCACGGCCCCTCTCCCGACCAGCTCACTCGCTATCAACCACAAGTCAAGATGCCTGCATGCTCTGCCGATGTCGCCAGCCAGCGCGAGAACTTACAACCCTCCCAACACGTCGATCTTTCATCAGCCAGACACCCATGATACAGCGCCGCTCTGCCTCAACAGAAACCTTTACCTCAGCAGAAGCAGACAACATAACCCTCGTCGGTGCGCCAGACATAACCAATCACTACACAATCTTTCCGAAGACGCTACCAGCAGGCCCACCCCCAGGCTCAGCATTCGCAATCTCAACCAGCGATCTCCGCCGTGAGTTCCTCCAACTACAAGGCCTCGTCCACCCCGACAAATACCCGAACGGAGCAGAGAAGCAGCTCGCCGAAGGCCTCTCGGCACGGATCAACGAAGCGTACCGGACACTCCTGGACCCGCTGCAGCGAGCACAGTACATTCTACGGAAATGGCACGGGATTGATGTGACTGCTGAAGATGCGTCGACTAAGCATGCGCTTGACGCGCAGATGTTGATGGAGGTTATGGAGGTTCAGGAAACAATTGAGGAGGTTGGGGCTTCTACTGATGCGGAGGCGCAGATCAATGCGCTTAAGATAGAGAATCAGGAGAGGGTTATCGAGTGTGTGGGGAGACTTGGGGAGGCGTTTGAGAAGGGAGATTTAGAGGCTGCGAGGAAGGAGTGTATACGATTGCGGTTTTGGTATAGTGTTGGGGAAGGATTGAGGGAGTGGGAGCCTGGGAATACGGAGATTCGGTTTCATTCTAGTTGATAGGTTTTTTTGTACATCATTGGATGGCTTGGATATATCTCGATAGACTGCGCTACTCTTTCTTACATCTGACCGGTGGAGAATACTGAAGTGTGATTCATTATGCACTGCCAATTGGATAGATTTGCTGCCTTTTTTTTTTCTTCTCTCGATAGGACAGTGGGATAAGCTAATTTCTATGGGAATGAGGGGTAGGGAATACATTCAACCTGTAACAGAAGAGCAGAAGTGAAACGTCTATTTTTATATCTGTGTGAAGTACGGAGTACTCCGTAAACATCGATAACTGTCATCCAGCCTCGTTATAATGAGGCAGGGTATCGTTGTACAACTGTTTGACCGCTACATTTAATATCTCCCGAATATTCACGACAAATCAAAATCCCAATCAGTGACGCCTCAAATTCCAAAACGATGGTTCTCAGGAACAACCCAAGGAGGTTATAGATTGGGTTCTCTCAAGGTTAGGGATTGGGCACAAACCTGCTGACGCTAACGTCGCGCGACAATTGGACAGCCTAGGATCCAGTGACGACCGGCTGTTCTGTATGGCTGCTCTGCGTGTTTTTTTTTTGGTCTCGGTGATAGCGGCATCGCATTCAAATGGTTCAAAAAGAACGAGTGGGTGGTCATTGGTATTGGGAGGAGCCAGAGGAGATGGAGAGGGATATAGGGTGAGGATCCATGATAGCATCTCATCTTCTTTGGACTCATTTCCCATAGCTCATACTCCGTACAGAGAGAGGACTTCGTAGAGTCATCCGGTCTAGCGTAAGTACAACGGATCCTGGAATTCTTGCCCCCATCACAGCTGCACACGTTGCAGACTACCATCTTCGCCCAAGGTCCGCCTTGGGAATCGAAAGTAGATTATTTAATGGGACTATCCTGCATGTAAGAACGTAGATTAATCTCATCTCATCCCTTCCGTAGAAGGTTAACCATCCCTCATGGAGTCAGCTCCCAATTTTAGCAGGTATGGAGAGGTTATGATGTAGGGATACACCATTGGCAGACTGCTAATCCAACGTCTTCAGCATCATCCACTCACAACCATTCACCTTTCTCGTCGGCCCGCAGCATACGAAGCTAACAATCCAGTCGGGGCTCACCGAGCATGTCTCCAAACCACTTCACAATCTCATGAATGGTCCAACGAGGGAATCAAAACACCGCATCGCCCTTCTGGAAGAGGAAGAGGTTGAAACCTTTGTCGCTTTCTGCGAGTATGCATACACCGGCGATTATAGTGTCCCTCGTCTCGAGCGGGAGGTCCAGGAGGAGCACCAGCATGGAGGAGTTGAGAATTCGCCAAGTACTGCCACCTGGGGGGGAAACTATCGAACTGGTTCAATGTCGTCGACTATACCCCCTCTGGCTCCGTCGCCACCTCCACAATGTCGTCACGGAGAACAAGGACCGGATCACCAGCCTGCACCTGAGCCTGAGCCACCAGTGTCTCAGCCCGTGTCTGAACCTGTGCCCGCCGAGGCGCAGGAGCCGGTAACTCCAACCTTGGCGCCGGGGCCTGAGGCCGAGTCGGTTCCAGGACCCGAGACCCCAGTCGATGTCGCAAAGCTGGAGCCAGAGACAGAGACATACCACGAAGCGGAGGCTGGACTAGAGACACCAGCCGCGGAAGTGCGCCCTGCCGACGATAACTGGGCGGTTCCGACCGAAGAACCTGCGACAGTGGAGCCAGACGAGCCCAAGGTAAACAAAAAGAAGGGAAAGAAAGGTAAGAAGGGCAAAAAGCAAGAGCTCGTGGAAGAGGACCCTTCCGCCCCCGCTGAAATTGTCCACCTTACGCCGCCATCAACACCGCCTCCTGAAGTTGCCATTGAGCCTGTCCCGGAACCAGAAGCAGCGCCCGTTGAAGAATGGGCTACAGCAAACGCTGTCTCAGAACCAGACTTAGAACCGACTGAGCACTGGGAACAGCCCGCTGAAGAGCCAACACCTGAAGCTGCACCTACCAAAGAACAGCCACCCGCTCCGGAAGGACCGATGGAAGATTCATGGACTCAAGACCGAAGTGAAGGCGCCATCATTACCCAAGCACAGCGCCAACGACCCATGCTCGACATGTCCTTTGCCACCCAGCAAGCGACCTCACTCTGTGCGCCGGGCCTTAATCTATGGGATGAATTCAAGTCCCTACAATACGACGAGCCAGCACACTTCAAAGACCCAATCGAGACGCCAAGCAACGACATCCCCGACATCACCTTCCACGCGAAAGTCTACATCTTCGCCACACGGTACCTAATCCCTGCTCTTGCCCAGCTCTGTCTTCGAAAGCTGCATCGCGACCTGCTCCTGTTATCCTTGACAGATTTTGAACCCGCCGATCCAGGCGATTCCCCAGTTCTAGACGGCTTGGCAGCAACCAAGGCGCAGATGGTATTGGAGCTGGTGCACTACGCCTACACCAAGACGGCCCGCCTGGAGCCAATCTCGCCAACGTCCGCGACTCAACTTCGGGAGAACCAGCTGCGGCGACTGGTGGTGCACTATGCGGCATGCACCGTGAAGGAACTGTCACGGTATCATTCGGCCAAGGATTCGGTCGCGGGAACCTCGTTGTCAGTGGACGCCAAGGCCGAGCGGCCTGAGAATTTCACTTCCCCCAAGAGTTTCCGCGCGTTGTTGGATTCGACGACGGAGCTGGCCTCTGATCTGGTCTACCGTATGATGTGATTGGGTCTCGTGTGCCTAGACTGTGTTTTTGGTTTCTGCATTGCTGCCAGATGTTTCGAAGGACTGGCGTTCTGTTGCTACCTAATTTGAATCTGTCACTATTTTCCTTTTTTTTTTTTTTTTTTGAAAGGGGGGGGGGGCGCATTGCATGAATTGTTTAGCACAATTTTGGGACTTTTTTTTTCAATAAAGTGATGATAGTGATGATTTTTATATGTCCTTGGGATGAACGATCAGATCCCGTTGAGATATAGACTTCTAGACTCCTTCAGAGACTGTGATGAAGTGGATTTCTGATGGGGTTCAGATCAAATTCAACCGGAGACTTGAACGATGACATGGTACTCTTCATCTTGGCATCTACGTTGTGCAGACACGCAATGGTGTTCCCATCTTCTTCTTCTTCTCTCTCATCACAGCCAGAGGATGTGTAGATCTTGGCGTTTGGCGCTCAGGCATCCACGCGAAGGCCAGTTTCGACCTTTCAATGCCTATCAGAGGGCCCGAAAGAATTGAGATTCATCCAAAGATCGAAGTTCAAGAGTCTGATAGTAAACCCAATTCTAGATTGCCAATCAGCCTGGTACTTTCTCTTCAGGACTAGGGCAGTGTCCCTAGACAGAACTCATCGAGATTGTTTGTCTAACCTGATGCCCAGACTCGGTATATTTCCGGAATTGCCCAGGGACTAACCCCCCCCCCCCCCCTCGATGGGAGAATGAATCGAGTCCAATATCCTGGGATCTACTTAGAGACTCCCTTTCGAGGGGATCGTCTTTCAAATAGTCTTGGGAAACCTCTTGGCTGATCTTCAGTGAAATTGGGAAATTGGGAAGTGAGATGATTTGTTCATCGTATATTTACAGGGCCCCTTTCGCTCTTTCTCCTACTTCATTCATCACTGGAATTCCCTTCTCTGTTGCTTTTTCGCTTTTTCTCTTCTTCTCTTCTTCTCTTCTCTTCTAAACCCCAGGGGTGGATAGTCTTAGTCTTGTCTTGGTCCTCTATATTTTTTTCGTTGATGTGCTAACCTTGAGGCTTTAAGACTCATTTGCCTTCATTGCCTTCATTGCATCAAATCTAGATACACAATGTCCAATCCAATTCTACTAGGGGCCTACTCTAATCACAGTCAAGAGCTTCATTCTTCATCTGCACCATCCTCTTCCTCAGACAAGTGCGAGAAGCACTACCCACTGAGCTTCCGCGAGCGCCTCCGTCATTTCACATGGGCATGGTATACTCTCACCATGAGCGCCGGAGGCCTAGCCCTCCTACTAGCGAACCAGCCAAACAAGTTTAAAGGCGACCGCGAGATCGGTCTAGCCATCTACTTATTCAACCTCGTCCTCTTTTCCCTCGTCTGCTCTCTCATGGCATCGCGATTCATCATCCACGGCGGAGTCCTCGACTCCCTCCGCCACGAACGGGAAGGCCTCTTCTTTCCAACCTTCTGGCTCTCCGTCGCCACGATGATCACCGGTCTGGAGAAGTACTTTGGCGACAATCCCGTCCCATCCTTCACAACAACCCTCGAAGTCCTCTTCTGGCTATACTGCTTCTGCACCTTCTCGGTCGCCGTGGTACAATACTCCGTCGTCTTCACCTCGCACATCTACCGCCTTCAAACAATGATGCCCTCATGGATCCTGCCCGCCTTCCCAATCATGCTAAGCGGCACGATCGCATCTGTCATCTCCTCTCGCCAGCCCGAGCGCGCAGCAATCCCCATCGTCACCGCCGGAATCACTTTCCAGGGTCTGGGCTTTTGCATCTCGTTCATGATGTACTCACATTACATCGGACGGTTGATGGAGAGTGGACTTCCGTGCCGCGAGCACAGACCGGCGATGTTCATCTGCGTTGGACCTCCAGCGTTCACGGCGCTTGCTCTCGTCGGGATGGCGCAGGGACTTCCCGAGACGTTCCGCGTGATGGGGAGTAAGGACACAGCTGCCGATGGACGGATGCTGGAGATCCTGGCCTTGGCAGCGGGCGCGTTCTTGTGGGCGCTGAGCTTTTGGTTCTTCTGTGTTGCTGCTATTGCGGTCATTCGGTCACCGCCGACGAGGTTCCATCTTAGCTGGTGGGCGATGGTTTTTCCTAACACGGGATTTACGATTGCTACTATTACGCTTGGAAACGCGTTTGAGAGCTCGGCAATTAGGGGTGTTGCCTCTGCGATGACGATCTGCATTGTCTGCATGTTCATCTTTGTCTTTGTCAATCATGGTCTTGCAGTTTATCGCCAGGATATCATGTATCCTGGTAAGGATGAGGATACATCGGACTGAGATGCTCTTCCGACCGAGGAATTCTTGTCTCTTGTGCTCTTTCTGGTTTCTTTGTGTGTCACTTTTGGCATTTGCTCGCTTTCTTGCGCAATCTTTCTTTGCAATCTTCGGTCTTCTTTAACTGCACGCACTTCTGTCATGTCACTGTTTCCTTTTTTTTTCATTCTGCTTTTGATCTCCAGGTTGATTCTTCATTTGGGCTTTTTCTCAAAAGCATTCAAGCACTCTGTTTGTTTCGGTCCTGTGGAAACTCTTTGCATCTCCAGCGTTTCATATCTTGTCTGAACCTCCATCTCCTTAGCGTCTACTACATGTCAATAGAACTAGAACGAATAAAGTCACTGCAATTAAATCATAACCACCTAGCAATCTAGAAACAAAAGACCAAACGCTCGTGGACAAGTACAGACAAGAACCAGAACAAAGAAAGAAAAGAAAAGAAAAGTCACGCGACCATAAAACCCTACCTGGAAGCCATCATACCCGAACAACCTAGCACTTCAATGTGGGAAAACATACCAAAGCTCAACCAGGAAAAAAAATCATTGAAGAGGCTCGTCTTGGCTTCATCCCGAAGGATTACTGGACCCCAGCACCACGGTGAGGTGCGAGCCAACGCTGGGGAAATGGCAAATAAATGGCAAATAAATGGCAGAGGACGTTGCAGGCTAACATGGTGACGAAGTCCCTCTCTTCACTTCCCAGTCGGCACCAGGTTGCCCCAGGACCGGTGGGCAGAAGGCGGGGGATAAATGGTAAACAAACAAGAAACCCGAAAGATGAAAATGAATAAGTGGCAAATAGCAAGATAAATGGCAGAGGACGTTGCTGGCTAACATGGTGACGAAGTCCCTCTCTTCACTTCCCAGTCGGCACCAGGTTGCCCCAGGACCGGTGGGCAGAAGGCGGGGGATAAATGGTAAACAAACAAAACCCCAAAGATCAAGTAGATGGCAGGAGCTCGTCTTGGCTTCACCCCGAAGGACTACTGGACCCCAGCACAACGGTGATGTGCGAGCCTTCGCTGGAGGGAAGTGGGAAAGGAGGTTTGAACAAAGAACAGTGATAAGGGAAGGGGAGTAGAAAAAGATGATGATGATGTATGGGAGATGGGAGATGGGAGATGGGAGATGGGAGATGGGAGATGGGAGATGGAGAAGAGAAGAGGAAAATGGGGGGGAGGGGGGTATTTATAACCACAGGAATCGATGGCCTCAGGATACACTTTAACCTGATCACGCAGGCAATATGTCACCATTATGTCAATATGTATATATGTAGAAGTAGAAGAGAAAACAATGATATTGCATCCTATATAAGATGTTGTCACCTTGCTCTAGCAAGTTTTGTATGGGTATCATGATGGCAGGAAAAAGCAGTCTTTTGCCGCACATGGCTTCGTGGTTGTAGAGCGACAGGTCGAGTTCATGCTCGACAGTCAAGCCTTGATTGAAACGAGCTTCTTGGAGCATACTGGCGTGCACTGGACAGACGGCCAGAAGCCCGCGACGCCGAAGGCATCTGATAGACTACCACGTGGCTCCGTCCGTTGAGAAGGAGTGAACTGCCGAGGCGAGACTTTCGGATAGTTTGGCAAAGAAAGCCCTCAGGGTGGTGATAGACTTGGGATAAAGTGCGAAAGCCGTCCACAGCAGCTTAAGCAACCTTTCTGCCGACGTTACCAATTCCACGGCCGACAATGCTGACAATCACATCCCCATCGCCATTGTCAGGCGCGTCACGGATACCCCATCCAGGGGCGCCGAACTTGGACAGATCCCGAGCGAGCTGGATCACGTTGGGATCAGCAATCACGTCTCGGCCAACCTGCAGCCGCCCAACATCTTCCGAGCCCATTGTCATGAGGGTGAACATGGTCGTCGCAGCCGCAGGAGCCACACAACCTCCCTTCGAAACCGTTTCTAAGAGCTGGAATGCACACTGCTTTCCAACTTCCTCGGGGGCTTGACCACCCTGTGGAGGAGAGGCCACATCAGCTGAGAAAAGGCAGCCTGTGGAAGACTCCGCCACCAAGGACAAACCAAACCCAAGGCCGATCTTCTTCTTTGCTTGGGGGTTGGTCTTATCTGGAGCCGGTACCAAAGGCGCAGACGCAACGTCGGAGAAGATGTAAGTATCAGGGCTGAGTGGGTTGAGAATACCACGGGCGGTCTCAATCATGCGAGCATTGTTCGAGCCAGACACACCAACCGAGTATACAACCCCACGGACGCGCTTGATGCGGCCGGCGTTCATCAAGTGCAGAGTCTTCGGCAGACGGACCTGGTGGCCAAACACGAGCTGAACTTCACCACCACCACCCCTGCCAGTGGGCCCAGTGTTTGATCGCCTCAAGATACGGAGCTCGATGTTGTTGAAGATGCCGAATTGTTTGTACAGAGGGAGGATCGCAGTACGAACGCTGTCGACGGACATATCTCCGGTCTGGGTCGACGAGGTGATCACACCGGGTCCTGTGAAGAGCACCTTCATGGGTACTTTGGCGAAGGGGGCAAGCAGACAGAGCGGGATCAGGAAGTAACTGAGACCGCGGTTACAGTTGGACGGAATCTCGTAGGTGATCATACCGCCGCTGGCTCCAGTACCGGCCGTGCTGCCGGTAATCAAACCTGGCTTGTAGACGAGCACAGTACCGGTGTATGAGATCTCCATTTGAGATCCATTGGTGATTGCATCTAGCAGACG